AAGGGCCTCCCTCGGCGCCCTAGAATTCTTAAGACCCTACTTTTTCATGTCCTGTACGGGAAGGCTATTGACCGCAACTAGTTTGGGAGCGGTAGCCTCACAAAGTTGGTCATGAAGGGTAAAAACAGATCGGGGGCCTTTTGCGGTCTTATCCGCCGGGGCCTTTTGGGGGCCAGTCCGAGCCTGCCACGATCAATGCTCATCTGAACGCTGGCGAAGAAACAGTCGGGGGAATGAAGTGTTCAGACGACGCGGGGCGCGGCCGGCGGGGCAGGACGGCGGCCACGAGGACACACGGAAGAGCACGAGGCAGTGCTGCGGCGCGCTGCGGTCAGCCGCTTGTCGCTTGGCGGCGGCCGCGCGGCCGCATGCATGCATGGCGTGTCTGATGAAGTTAGGCTGTCAATCCCTCCGCATGCGAGACTCCGGGACCCCGGGACTACCCGACACTCCCCGGCCGGCGGCGGCAACCCGTTCCCCGCGCACGACGCACCGCGACCGCGAGGCGCGGTGGGCGCGGTGCGGTGGGGTAGGTCCGGGCGAGGCGCGCGCCGCGAACCTCTTCGCCCGCCACCGCGCTGAGAGCGTTTGCGACCCCGCGGCAAGTGGCGAAGCTTTTCAAACATCGCCCTGCCCGGCCCTGCCGACTGCCGATGGCGCTGCTGGAGCGACTCGTGGAGCGATAGGCGCTCCGTGCTCCGAGACACGCGACGGCAGCCGATCCCTGGTTGGTTTGTACACAGTACTAAATCGTTCGTAGTAGTACGAACAAAACGAAGACATTTTAAAACCTTCGAAGAAAAATGCTTCGTATAATGAAGCAAAATCCTTCGTATGGCGCAAACGAAATAGTTCTGTCATGTCTTAATTTTCTTTGTATTATCAAGCAGATGCCTCGTGGACTGTTTTGAGTGTGGTCCACGCGTGCTGAGACACGAGGCATCGCCCGCGATGGTACACGGTAGGCTGCAGGTTGGTTCCGAACGGGGGCTCTCGTCGGCCGTCGGGCTGTCTCTCTCACACCCATACGGGACGCTCCATGAGTGCGGGAGGGAGAGAGAGAATAGAATAGAATAGAGAGAGAGAGAGAGAGAGAGAGAGAGAGAGAGAGAGAGAGAGAGAGAGAGAGAGAGAGAGAGAGACGGCCCCACGCCACCACGTCGTAGCCCAGCCCAAAAGCGGAGGGCAGCAGCCTCAGCCTTCGACGCCGCTGGGTGCTGCCATGGTGCTGCGCTGAGTGCTTGCTACCCGTGCTACCGGGCGGCGCGTCGGTGCGTCGGCGCGGCGTCACCCCCACCTCGTTCCCCTAGTATCGTGTTGTGGGCAGGTGCCTTGTTCGGAGCTAATATCTTATGCTCCGCCCCGCCCGGCCTCGCCCGGGCCCTCCTGCAGGTGGAACGGAGTCAGGGCCAGCAAGGCAGCAAGGGCTGCCCCTCCCGCCCCTACCTCACCCCGGCCATGGCCTGCAGGACTTGATGATTTGACGATCGGTCGGCGGCAGGCCCAGTGTAGGCCCGGGGGGCTCGGGGCCCAGGCCCAGGTGGTGCCTGTTGGGCAAGGACAGGAGGACGGCCCGGGTTTAGGGCTTGTCAGGGCCAGACCAACCGGGGTTCCACCAGTATTTCGGTCTAATGGCCTGATAGAACGCGGACGTCTTTGCGGACATTTAAGTTCAAATATGAATGACTGCAGATAAAGTAACTCGGGCGAAAATGGAGGGATTCATTCGGATTCGATCGACGGTCCCCAGGGTTGCGCGCGGTCGATGTTGACTCTGCGCTCTCTGCCGCTCAAAAAACAGTGGGTGCTGGTTTGGGTGTCAGAGTGTATGAGACTGAGTGAGTGTGCGTGTGTGCGCGCGTAGTGCACCTCGCTGCCCCGCCCCGCCCCGCATTGGCGCCTCTCTCTTTGACGCCGTGCCGCCTTGGAGCCGCTTGGAGCCGCACGCCGCGCCCAGCCGTGCCCAGCCATGGCTCGGCTCGGACGACCACCAAACTCCCTAGGCCCGGTCCAGACTCGACGCCCCGCCGCGCTCTTACTTTCTCCATATGACCATGCGTGTGTTACAGGGCCTCCAGCCAAAACACTGGAGCCGGGGCGTGGCGGCCGTGGCGGCGTGGCGGCCCGCTGGGTCCACTACAACGTCCGCGTCGCGTCGAGGCGGGGCCGGGGGCCGGCGTGGTTCGGTGCGCGCGGGGCCGTGACCACGGCGCCCTTGGCCTCACCTCACGGCCCTCGAAGCCTCTCGGCAGGTCCTGCAAGGCAAGGCCCTGCCCGGCAAGGCCCCGGCCTGGACCGAGGCCGGAGCACTAGGGGCACTAGGGGTGCGGCAGCCACACGGACTCGGGCAGTGCGGCCAGCCAGGCAGCGCAGCCCCTGCGCGAGGAAAGGTCGCGGAGCGTGGTGGGTGAAGCCTTCAGCTCGGAATCCGAACCGGGTGCGTCGAAGGTGTCGAGGAATGCCAAGAATCTAGAGCTAGCTGCTCGAGCTGCTTGAGCTGCCCCGGCGTCGCATTGCGTCGCATCGCCAACCTGGGTGCCGCCACGGCATCGCTATCCGGCGCCACGCGGCGCCCCGCCCCGCCCCGCGCCGCGCCGCCCGCCCCCGCCTCAGGCCGGTGGCGATATAATTAAGTCGAGTGTGGCTGCGGCGGTCTACAGGTCTAAATTTACACCACGCGCTCGACGGAGCCCTCCCGCCGCGCGACTGCCGCGAGGTGCGGTTTGTGAGGTGCGCGAGAAGCAGCAGAAAGCCGAGTGCATGTACTCGCAGCCTGCAGGGGCGCCTCGCGCCTCGAGCCGCGGGACAGCAGCAGGCCTGGGCAGGCGATGGCAGGCAGCCGTCTTGGAGGACAAGGGCCCCGTTGTGTTGGTGGCCGCCATGCCGCGCTCGGCGGCTCAGCGCGACGAGTCCCATGAGCCATGGGCACGCAGCAGCCCCGCGCCGCCGTGGCCGCCGTGGCCGCCATGGCCAGGGTGGTCTTGAAATAGCTCTCCCCTTCGCCTCGCCACCCTCCCACTCTCCCCGCGTCCCCGCCTGACGCCGCCACCTCGCGGGGAGAAGGGGTATAGGGGGGAGGACGGGGGACTTCCGGCAGCCACACTACAACCACCGCGGTGCTCCAGGCAGCACCTCTCTCCTACATGAACATGAACATGATAGGCCAGGAAAGATCCTCCGTCGATTCAAGCAGATTGAAGCCCGCCCAAGCCGAGGCAATCTTGCAGCACGCGACCAGTCCGTCCTTACGGTCCTTTACCGGGACTGTTGCTCCTCGGCTGGGCTTGGTGTTCAAACGTCCCGACAAGGCCGGCCAGGGCCCTGCAGCCCTGCACTGCTTTGCCAGTCTCCCAGCCCGTCTTACTGTCTGCGCTCTGCTCCTTGTCCCAACGAGAACGTCCACTCGCAGCACGGTATCAATGCCTCCGTGTCGTGGTGCCGGAGTGCCGGCATGGCAGTGGCCTCGACACTCAGCAAGTGGAGTATGTCGGGCCGCGCGCGTTTGTCCGGTCGGCTTTCTCTGTCTCTGTCTTACCTGTGGCTCTGCTGCGCCGGCCGCGCCACGCTGAAGGCGCTGAGGGCCGCGACTCCCGCGGCGACTCGCTGCACTTGGCGGACTTGTGCTGCCGGCACGCGAGGTGCCCGTCGGGGCCTGTCACTCTGTCACTCGCCGCGCGTGGACCACACGTGGCGAGAGTGACAGCGAGTGACACGCGAGTCCACGGCGTGACTAGCGCATCCTTGTTGAGGTGGTCATTGCCGCGCCGATGCCGGCTCGGCCGCACGAAGGCCCCAAGTGGCCCCAAGTGGCCCTAAGGCCCGAAGGCACACCCTCTTGCCGCTGGTGGCGGCGGCAGTGCGCGGCGGGCTGCGGACTTGCGGACTTGCAATGCTCGCCGTTCCAGCCCTATTTCGGGCGGAAAGTGCATTATTTTTAGCATCCGAAATCGCCGCCGGCCGCGGGGTGGGCTGCCGTGGCTGCAGTCTGCTGCACTGCCGGCATTTCGCTTTCTTCGCGCGTCCTGCGGCCTCGGCCCCTTGCCTGAGCCCGAGGGTGGGGCGTGGGGCTTGCCGAGTCCTGGCGACGTCCTGGCACGGCCACCACGCCACGCCGCGACGCCAAGGGGGTCGTTGCTCGCCACTCGTCGCTCAGGCGTCGCCTCGCGTCGCCTCGGGTCGACTGCCGTTCATTTGACGTCCTTCCCTGACCGCGGGCTGAAGACTGTAAACTGTACACTTGTCCGCAACGCCTAAGCGACACTCCGCAGTGTCGCGGTGCTTGACCACACGCGATTCGAGACGTTGACGTCGACTTGGAGTCCGCGGCGGCGCTGCGGCGCGCTGCGACGCACGGCGGACACGCTCCCCGTCACTGCCCGCGCTGCTCGCGCTCGCTGCGAGTCGGCGGCCTGCGACGCCTGCGACCCACCCCGACACCCCGACGCGATCCCCGGCGCGGCCCCAGAAGCACTGAGGACTGACTGAGGGAGGAACAGCAACAGCGAGAACACGCGTTCAGAAAATAAACTTGGTTCGGCGCGGAGGGGGCAGAGGGGGTGGGGAGGCAGAGAGGGGGCGGGGCTTGTTCGCACCGGCAGCGCGGCAGCCTTGCCGGCAATCCGCTTCATTTGCGATCGGCAGCCGCGGGCCCTTGTCCGGACCCTTGCGCGGATTGCGGAGCGCCCGGAACGTGGATGTCGCCGATGTGGCGGACGCGGATGCGCAATGCATGACCTCAGGACCCTCAGACAGGTGTTCGTTGGGTTGCCTGCCGGGTCTGCTGCCGGCGCCGGGCAGCTGCAGGCTTGTAACACTGTCAAATGGGTTGCCTACACTGGCGGCTTCGGTCCAGGGCTGGAGCTGGAGGCCACGCAGGTCCGGGTCCACCCCAACGCCCAGAAGGTAGGCAGCAGGGCCAAAAGGTCCGACGGTTTGCCTAACCCCACGGCGCCGATGCGGGCGCGTGGTTTCTCATACTTCCCACAGTCGACGCCTGCGATGCCTGCCTTGTGCTGGCAAAGTCGTTCTTGTTGTTGTTTTGATTCGGTCTAAGTTCTGATGCTCCGTGTAAAATGTCAATAATCGTAGGAATTTTACGATGATTCTGCGGGGAATTTGTTTTTCATTGGAGCTAGACAACTTTTTCGTACGCACGATCCTTCTGATACGTTTCTTGGGGTTTGGTCATGTTGCATTTGTCCGTAATCTACTGAAAGGGACCGGCCAAGACTCTCTACGCTAGGTTAGGTAAATATTTTACTTCTTCATCAACGACTTGGGCCTCCAAATTTGTTGAATTTTTGCTGGAAGTCTTCAAGCTTGTCCCTCTAACCTCACACTTCATTTCAAGGTTTATTCAAAGCCCAACGTACTTTAAATTAAGTTCTATTGTCAGATTTTCTTGCAACTGACAGGAATGTTATAGTAACTTCTTTCTTCTTTGCAGACATTTCACACCATCACCATGGGTAGCTTAGAAGCTGGAAGTACTGCAACTAGAGTCGACATTTCGATTTGCCGCAGATTTGGACACATCAAAGTGTCACGGATAGTATTTCTACTATGCTTTCTGCTGCTGTTATTACCCTTCATAACTCATTACTATTTATCAAAGGTATTTGAATAAAAAATTATGCATTATGAGCTTCTACCCAGTCTAGTGGAGGGTAAATTATAGGATATTGATTGCAGGTGGAGAGTGGAAACCAAAGTAATGATGCAAATCATATTCGTTTCAAGCTAGAAGCTCTTGAGGACCTGGGTGCCCTGAAAGCATCAGATTTAAGATTAAGAATACAGGAAATGGAACGTATCAAAGGTAGTTTATCTTCACAATTATGAGAATTACGATTACATTGTTGACCTCCTGCTGGCCTGTTGGTTCTCTTCTCACCACCAACTTCATGCTAGGTTCTGTTTCTGCTGAACTTCGTGATCTGGAGGCCAAACGACAGGGTCTTCAGCAGGAAATTTCATCTTTAACAAGCCGCATTGAGGATTTAAAAACAGAGCTTTCAAGACAAAAGACTGAACTAGAACGAGTTAAAATGTCAGTTGTGCAGGTGAGACAAGATTCAATATCCTACATTTATTCTAGCTCCTGAGAAAGAATGGTCATAGTTTGAAAAATATTTCAGGCACAAGTTGCTCAGAGAGAGGCAGAGCAGAGAAACGCACCTCAGCTCAGTTTACCTGGCAGGCTTTTCCCTAATGAGCTTCAACGGATCCTGAATGCTGCTCCACATGAAAGTGCTTCTCATATTCACTGTCGCCAACACAACTGCTTTGATTATTCACGTTGCTCAATCACCTCTGGTTTGTATCTGATGTTCAAATTGTGGTTTGTCTCATTCTGATTATCACGTTTATGATGTTTTTTTGCAGAAATACATTTTTATTTTTCTGTCTGTCTTCAGGGATGCCAGTATATGTGTATAGTGATGCTCTAGGAGAACTGAGCTCTTTCTTGCACACGGCTTTACAACAAACTTTAAGTTTTAATCTACACATCACAAAGGATCCCAAAGTAGCTTGTCTCTTTTTTGTTCCCATTGGTATGTTGTGCCTTACTTTTGTTCAATTTGATGTGACTTCTGTTAAGTGCAAGTCATTCACAAATTAATATTGATTGATTCAGGCCATGAAGCTGACCTCAAGCAATTATCGCAACTTCCCCACTGGGGAGGAGATGGTCGGAATCATGTTTTATTCCATCTTTCTCGAGAGAGACTGCAGCCTTCTGCTGCTTTGATGACATCGAAGTTGACTGACAGAGCTATTCTTGTGCAGTCGACTTTCATTCAAAGCTCTTTTCGGCCTGGCTTTGATGTTGTCATATTCCCAGCCTTGGGTCCCCCTGGGGGAGATGTATGGCAAGACTGCGCTCCAATGCTTCCAGCCAGAAGAGATTTTCTGTTAACATTTCAGGTAAATGCCTGGCTTTAGTCTCCTTGTGCTTTGGTTGTTGTAGACGTAGTGTAGTCTGCAATTTTTTTGTCTTTGTTCAGGGTGAATTATGGAGTTTGGATGGACCTGGTGAAGCGTTACAGTGGGCACTAGAGCAACTTCATGGAATGGCAGCAGGCACTACCTCTGATCGCTTCCAGCTTGAGGTCAGTTGCAATCAAATTGTTACTGCCCTTTATGGTATTCATTTTTCTTTCTGATTATTGCTTTTCCTTCTTAGTTTTCTTGTCAACCAGCTACAGAAAAAGAGGATCTGTGGGGAGACTGGTCTATGTGTGGGACAGAAGCATCAAGGCAAGCTCTGTTAAGAAAGTCTACATTCACCTTAATTCTAGTGCCTTCCAATGCATCCCTTGTTTCAACCGCCACACTTCAAGCAAGATTGTGGGAGGCCTTGAGAGATGGAGCAATTCCTGTTGTGCTTGGAGGAGATACTCTTCTGCTACCTTACAGGTACAGAAAACTTATTACAGACTGATGTACAGATTTTGGTTTTTGGAAATGCAAGGCTGCTTCTGAAACTGTGGTACAATCTGATTTTCAGTGAAGTAGTTGTTTGGCGCCGGGCAGCTCTTATTTTGCCCCTCTCACGTGCATCTGAATTGCACTTCCTGCTGCGGTCTGTGAGTGACACAGACTTATCAGCAATGAGGCGTCAAGGACGCTTCATTTGGCAGAGTTATGGTGCGTCTCTGCAGAGTATCTTGGACACCAGCCTTGCCGTAATTCGGGACAGAATTGGCATCCCTCCACCGCCAGTAGAGGATGCTCCTTCTCCGTCAGTCTTCAACTCAACATTTTCTGTAAGGCACTGTGAAGGCGTTTGTTAATTAGTAGCAGTTTTATATAATTCAATGGATTTGAAATATTTTTATCCAGCCTTTGAAGACTGAAGCCTTGGTTGCTGATGCAGAACCAGAGGAAAGCCTTGGGCCTCTAGAGCCTCCTCATGCCTCCCCTTCATTCCGTAGAAATTACACAGTGTTTCTCACACAGGTATATTTTTTCTGCTTTGAACAAATTGTATTGTTAATGAATGATGTCATTCAAAAAAAGTTTTCTTTAGGGCTTTGAGATGTGGAATGATTGGGGAGACCCCTTTCATTTGTATCCTCAGCTTCCATTTGATCCATTATTGCCATCAGATGCCAAATTTATAGGTAAGATGCTTGTGAAAGTTATTGATAATGATGCTCAAAACAACCTTCTCCAGTCATCTCTCTAATTATGTACAAATTTTTAGGATCTGGTGTCGGTTTTCGACCCATTGGAAAAGGCACAGGAGGAGCTGGCAAAGAGTTCTGTGAGAGCTTGGGGGGAAATAGTCCCAGGGAGCAGTTCACCATTGTTATGCTTACCTATGAGCGAGAACAGGTATTGCAACAAATCATTCATACTTGCTGGCAGTAATAGCATTGAGACATAATTTGACTTCGTTTTCATTTTTGTTCTGCAAGGTTCTTATGAATTCTTTAAGTCGTCTCCATGGGCTCCCCTACTTAAATAAGGTGGTGGTTGTTTGGAATTCCCCTCGTGCACCCCTAGAAGATCTAAGATGGCCTGAAATTGGGGTTCCTGTTCAAGTAAGCCAGCATATTTTTAACTGAAAAAAAAAAAAAAAAGTGTGACTTACTTTTATGGGCGTTTAGTTTCACAGACCGTATTATTTTCCAAACAGGTTGTAAAAGCAGCAAGAAATTCTTTGAATAACCGTTTCCTGCCTTATGATGAAATTGAAACTGAAGCTGTTCTCTCTGTAGATGATGATGCTCATCTTCGACATGATGAAATTATGTTTGGTTTTAGGTTAGTATTCTCACTTTGTCAATAAAATCTCCTCATCTTTTTGTTTGATTGATTGATTGAATAAAAATAAGCTTGAAAATTATTTTCAGAGTGTGGAGAGAGCACCGTGATCGTGTAGTTGGATTCCCAGGAAGATTCCATGCATGGGACATAAACCATGGTGGCTGGTTATACAACTCCAATTATTCATGTGAACTCTCAATGGTTCTAACTGGTAAGTTTTTCCTTTTATTATTTTTTTTTTCTTTCTTTCTGAAGGTGCACAATTTTGATGCAGGGTTTTGTGCATCCATATACAGTAGTATCTTCTTCTTTTGTAGGTGCAGCATTCGTCCACAAACATTATTTATATCTGTACAGCAACTGGTTGCCACAGGCTATCAGAGATAAAGTAGATCAATTTATGAATTGTGAGGATTTAGCAATGAATTTCTTGGTTTCTCACATAACAAAGAAACCTCCAGTTAAGGTAACTTCTAGATGGACATTCCGGTGCCCAGGATGTCCTGTTTCTCTGTCTGAGGATGACACCCATTTTCAAGAGCGACACAAATGCATCAACTTTTTCTCCCAGGTAATTTTTTGTTCAGTTATTCAGTTAAATGATGTTTTCTTAAATCTTGATCACAAATGATTTTTCCCGTCATCTTTTATATTTCAGGTATTTGGCTATACACCTCTGCTGAACACACAGTACCGAGCTGATTCAATCCTTTTCAAAACTAGAATTCCTCATGACAAACAGAAATGTTTCAAATTTATTTAAAAGTCATTTGGTGTTTATAGTCAACTGCCACAGTGTTGCTATGTTTGCCCACTTATTTATTTTCTTTTGTTAAGGTTTAGATTATTTTCTTACACAGAAGTTTTGACAATAAAATAATCTTACAGTAGTTACTTTTTCTTGACTCATGCAAAGAATTTCATGAAGCTTTCTGAAAAAATAAATTGTGTACTTGTGTTTGCAGATTTGTGAGGGACCAGTTCCTTTTATTTATTCCTCTAGATCTTCTGTAAAATACTCAACTCAAATGAATTCATGTTAAGTTTGATTTCCACTTTGTGCTACTTGCCACTCTAAGTTTTTAGATTGAATGTTTAATTGTGTCTGTGTGTGCCGGAGAAAGTGATGTATTGACATCATGATCTCTGAGATTGAATGTTGTGACTTGATTTGAAACAAAATTCTTAGTACTCATTTCTATCAACATGAAATGTCCTTTTGCTCTTGTTCAAAGTTTTTCTTTCCTCCAAGTAAAGACTGGCTGTGCTTCTCATTCTCTTCATGCTCAGTGTAACCTTTTTTTTTTTTTAACAATAATGTGTCTCCCCATGAATATTTATTTATTTCCATATTGTGTAGAGTCCTTTTTGTTTCTTTTTCTGTACTTTTTTTTCCAGTGTGAGCTACAATGTTTAGTGCCATGTATGTAATTTCTGTGATATTGTGAAAGTTTGTTCAGTTTTAGCAAGAGAAAGAGCAGAACGCTCTGTTTGCCAATGATTTACAGTGTCTTATTATGGTTTAGTTTTGAATATTAGGTAAGCACTCAGTCCTTTTTTGGCACAATGTTTGCTTATTTATTTATTTATTTATTTATAGAGTCATGACTTTTATTCTATGACTATTGGACACAGTATTGTAACCAGTACTTATCAACAGCCTCAAATCTTGGAACAGTTTTGTGGTTTGGACTTCAATATGCTGTCTTTTGTCTTATCATGTGCCAGCACCTTTGTCACTTAGTTCGTTACAATTAATGTAAATATTAAATTATTCTTTTTAAGTAAAAATTATGCTCACTTATTCCTCCTTTCCTCAAACAAACCGGTCTCGGGAGGGCAGAACAGTCAACATGGTGTCAACATGAACTCACAAAGAGTGGTTTGAGTCAAAATTAGGTCCACCCTGACCCCGAGTTTGACTGCCCTGCTCCTGTTCCCCTCGACTCGAATTGAAACAGCTTGGACCTAGAACGGTCCACCGCTTGCTTCAAAGGTCCTTAAGAGTAATCGTCTGTCTGCACTGCACCACGAACCGGCATGGGATCAGCTGTGGTCTAGCCTTTTAAGTTCAAGCTCACAAACACTTGGCCGCACTTTGCTGATGCTTGACGGTCAAGCGGGTTGCCTATCGGCGACTCTGCGGGCGGCGTGGCATAGCATGGCGTGGCGGGGCTGGAGACACTGTGAAAATCTGTGATCTCTTGGCCCTCGGGCGGGGACTGGTAACTCGGTGCGGGGTAGAAGTGTTTCTGAGCCGCAGCGCCGCAGTGCTGCCTTGGTTCAGACTCAGAGGAGGTTGACCGCCAGCGCCAGCAGCAGCAGCAGGGCGGCCGAGGCGGCCGAGCTCGCCGCCGTGGCGGAGGAGGCCTTGTCCTCCCAGAGGGGGATCGACCCCGTCTTGGCCAACTCGACCCAGAACTGCGACGAGTCCTTCATGCTGCGGTCCTGGGTGCCTCCCGCGTAGTCTATGTGGACCAGCCCGTATGGCTTGCTGCGTAAAAAAGAAGAAAACGAAAATGAAACCTCTTGACGCCGGACGCGTTGGGCTGTTGGATGGCGTTGGATGCTATTGGACGCACTGTTACCCTCGTACCTGTAGCCGGCGCTCCACTCGTAGCTGTCGATCAAACTCCAAGCGCAGTAGCCGATCACCTTGATGCTGTACTCCTTCATCGTCGTTACCAGGGTGCGCAGGAAAGCCTGAAACATTTCGCGAAAAAAAAATAAATGTTTGCACGTTCGACTCTCTCTCTTACTCACTCCCGGCAGGCATTTGCGGCACTTACGCTGAAGTACACGCCGCGAATGCGGTCCTTCGTGCCCAGCTGTGAAGCGTCGCCGTAGCCGTTCTCGGAGACGATCAACGGCACCTTGTACTCGTTCCAGGTCCACAGCAACGCGGTGCGCAGCGCGTCCGGGTCCATCTGCAGGCAGAGGGAGTCGTGACGTCATGGCCCTGCCCTCCAGGCCTAGGCCAGGCCAGGCCAGGCGTGCCCCGCCCCACCCTTTTCGTTGATACCAACCAGGTCGCTCTCGAGCGTCAAGTTGACGAACGGAGTGTCCTGCAGGTATAGGCCGATGATGGGAGCTTTGAAGTAGATGCTGTGGGCGGTGGCGTCGGCGTCGTAGTTAGCGGTCATGCCGTAGTACACGTTGAAGGCGATGAAGTCCATGGTTCCTGAGAAGGGTGAAAATGCATACGTTGGTAGCGGGCCCGGCAGGACTTCCTTGGACAAACCGCCACGCTGTTCTCACCTTTGAGGCGCTCGCTCTCGGCCTGGCTGAACGGCTGCAGCTTGCTGCCCGCTAGCTCCTTCACGATCTGCAAGGCGGTCATGTGCGTGTTAGAGGACGGCCAGCGTGTCCAAGCCAAGCGTGACTGTACATCCGTGCAGGCACGGATTGAGGGGGGGGGGGCAAAAGAACAATTGCCCTTGACCTCCAGATAGCCGCCTGAAAGGTAGGCCCTGTGAGTAGGCAAAACGTGCCCCCCTCAGGCCGCCTCTGGACACCGTACCTGGGGGTAGTCGCCGTACGTGACCGGGGCGAGCACCATACCGCCGGAAAACTGGTTGAAGGCGTTGGAGGCGTACACGTCCTCGGGGCGGGTTGACCTGGGCCGGGCCGTGCTCAGGGCCGCCGAGAAGCCCACCTGGCCTGCACGCCACAGAAGACACACCAACCGATTACACAATGGAACCAACGCGAGGGCTGGGGAAGGCCTCTGCTAGCCCGTGAGTGCGAGTGCGACGGTTGGTTACTGGTTACACTAGACTGACACGCGGTGCGAATTACTAACTACCGTCGCCGAATGAAGAGCCTCGATCTTTACTCACCCTCGAGTCCGAGCTCCTTGAACAGGTGGTAGGCCTCGGCGTGGCCCAGGGCCGTGTTGCGCATGCACGCGTAGTGGTCCATGTCGGACTGGGTGTACAGGTTGGCCATCAAGAAGAGCCGGGGGAAGTAGGTGCAGTACATGTTGGCCTCGTTCACGGTGGCCCACAGCTTGACCTGCAGCAGCACGGCGTTGAGCACGGCGTTCAGCAAGGCGTTGAGCACGGCGTTCAGCACGGCGTTCAGCACGGCGTTCAGCACGGCGTTCAGCACGGGCGTTCAGCACGGCGTTCAGCACGGCGTTCAGCACGGCGTTCAGCACGGCGTTCAGCACGGGCGTTCAGCACGGCGTTCAGCACGGCTAGCCGGCATCCTGGCCTCCCTCACGCAGGCCTGCTGGGTGGACTCACCTTACTTCCGTACTCGGTGAAGACGAGACGAGCGTACTCCTTGAAGTAGTTGACCATTTTGCCGCTCTGCCATCCTTTGAACTGCTCCTCCAGCACCCAAGGGTGGTCGAAGTGGTACAGCGTCACCTGTAAGTGCAGACCAGAATTTCCTTAGTCGGGAAGAAGCATCTGGCCGGAACGGAAATTTTGTTTTCGTCGAGGATTAAACTACGCCCCTGTTTGTAACTACAGAGTGCGAAGTTAGGGACACGGTTGCAAGCGGGCCTATGCGCGCGCAGCAATAGCCGGATACTTAGCGCCTGGGAGGTAGGCCGCGGACGCGTCGGGCAGTCAGGCGCATCGGTGTCGAGCCGCTGATCTACCCTGCCCCTGAGCCGCTAGGGGCTACTGTCTCCTCTCGTTTTGCAGCGCAGGTGGGTATGCATCGGACTCGAAATGGCGTACGATCAAGTGGCCAGAGCTCGCTCACCAGAGGGACCATGTTGTGCTTGAGGACCTCGTCGATGACGTCGTGGTAGTGCTGCACGGCCTGGTCGTTCCTGGAGACGGCGTCGGGCATCATGCGCGCCCACGAGATGGAGAAGCGGTAGAGCTTGAGCTGCAACCACATCGACCACATCGTCACGTCAGTCAGTTTACCAAACGGCACTACGGACAGTGCTTCGTCGGTCCCTCTCGCACTCATGGTGTGGTTCGTGGTGAGGTGCGAGAGAGACGGCGCCGCGAAAGCACCGTTCGGAATGAGCCTGCGTTCGGCGGTTGACGGACCTTACAGTGGATTTGCCAGAAGACCGGTGGAGGCGGCCGAAACTCTAGACGCGTTTTGAGCTCCAGAGTAGCTGAATGGGACTCATACCGAACGTGTGACCCCACCAATGGATTGCTCTTCAAACGAGGAATCCGTTGGTGGGGTCACACGTTCGGTTCGAGTCCGTTCGGCAACTCTGGAGCTCAAAACGCGTCTAGAGTTTTGGCTGCCGGTGCCGCGTACTCGAGGGCGTACTCACCCCGAGGTCGGCGGCAGCCTGGACGTCCTCCTTGTAGCGGCGGTACGAGTCGGCGGCCACGTCGTGCGTGTCGCTGCCGAAGCCGGCGCCCGCCATCTTGCCCGAGTGCAGCACGCGGTCCGCGGCGCTCTCGCCCTTCCCTGCGCCGAGACCGCCAAGACGGCCAAACACATTGCAGCGGCAGCGCCGGGCAGCGGGGCTCAACCGCCAAACCCCAGCGCTCGCTCGGCTGAACCAGGCTGAACCAGGCTGAACCACCCAATGAGAGCGCGCTGACGTCACCGACTTGATGCCTTCCAGCGAAGTGCGAGTGCGGCAGTGCGGCACACGGGGCATCACGACGCACTAGTATTCGTTATGCAATCCGCGCTAAACTTGGCGTGTGAGAGTCTACATATCTAACCTATGTCTCGGGGAGGCGCAGCCACGCGCAGCGAGGAGCCGCGGATAACTGCATCGACAAGTAATACTCGGGGGCACTCAAAGCCAGATTCCTTCAGCCGAGAAATACCGCGCCGCGCTGTTCGAAGAATAGGCTGGCGCGGCTCATCAGGCAGGCCTCGGCCGCCTCGGCTCGAGCAGGCCTCGGGACTGCAGTTTTCACTTCGACGCCTGTCGGTGGCCGATCCAGAGCCGGCCTGAGAGAGGCACAGCTTGCCCCCTCCCCCTGCGCACGCCGCTGCAGGGCCTGACTCACCGTCGGCCTGCCAGCTGCCCTCCGTCTGGAAGGCGGACGTTCCCGCCCCGATGAGCAGCCCCTCCGGCACGGCGAAGGGGTCCTCGGCGTCCACCGCGGCGCCCGCGACGGTCGAGGGGAGGCACACCGCCAGCACCGCCAGCACGGCCAGACATGGGAGGAGCTGCATCTGCACCGCCGCCGCCATCCTTGTCCTTGTTCCTGCTCCGAGCGCCGTTCTGTGTTAGTTTTCCTCCCGGCCAAACAGCGAGCCACTGCAGCCACTGCGCGGTGCGCCACCTCAAGGCACGACTGAACAGTGCGCGGCGACGAGCGAATAGATAGGGCGTCGAAGTGTGCGGCCTCGAAGTAAGTGGCGAACGAGGGGCGCGGGAGGGCTTCTTATTCGCCAAGTGTCCCCCTCGCCCCGCCGGCCCCTCGGCCAGGAGATTCGGCGCGGTGATTCACAGAAACGGAGGACCCCGCGGTCCTCAGAGATAACGGTGGAGTGGTGATTCGGCAGGAGTGTTAATCTCGCAGCGATTCTCAGAACCTTTCGAGAGAGCGCGAGGTCAAAAAACGAGGGTGACTCACCTTGAAGCTGCGGCTGCCCAGGGCAGGGCCAGCCAGCCGGGTTAGTCATTTTCCGAGACGCGTGTTGTTGCAGGTGGTGTTTCGAGTGGCTCCACAGGAGCGTCAAAGGGAATGACTAGATCGGCATTCACCGGACCACGCCGGCCACTTATCAAGCCCGTGCCCGAGTCGAGTGCCCACCTCCGGTCACTGCCTTGGCAATGGCTTGGCAGCAACGGGACGCGTGGCCCGCAAAGTTGCCGCCTCCGCCGGTGCGATCTCAGCCCCGTAGGTACAAGCCAAGCGCAGAGAAGAATGTCACCTCATGTTGCCCTGACCAGGCGGCCTGGATCACCGGTTTCTGACGTCACGGATCCGTGTTTCGGCTCGACCCCCCCCCCTCCCCCCGCTCTCACCCCGTGTTTACGTTTTCGCCCGCCACCAATTTTTGCCCCAATAACTGCCTCGAAAGCATCTTCCCTTTGCCCTGTTTCGACCCGCTTCGCGCCTTGAGCGGGCCTTCCCTGTTTCGGCCCTCTGCGCGATCTTGATTCGGCCTACCATGAATGCGAAAAGACCTGATCAAGGTAGTTCGTAGACGAAAACGGACGCTTGCGCAAAGCCTTCTTTTGGCCCTTCTCCCAACCTTTTTCCAGCCTTCGCCCGCCAGCCGCCCTGTCAAACATTGACGCGGGTTTTCAGACGGACCTATCCTTGCCTTCCCTCCGATGCGTTTTCAAGGCATAAAGGAGACTTCGAGTCGGAACCCGCACGTGCCGGGTTCGTGTCGCCGGGCGATACACTGCTGGAGCCGGGCCTGTCGCGACGGCGTGAGGCGCTATTGTCGCGGATCGGGGCGAGATGAGATAGGGTTCACGTTCAAGGCCGTGCTGGCCGTGCTGGCCGTGCTGTGCTGGGACTGCCCCCTAATAATGACACAGTGTTGCGCCAGCTGGCGCGGCCCGCGGCCATAAAGGCACTGGCACGCCAGTGCACGCCACCGGGCTTGTGTCGCTCGCACTCTCTCGCACTGGAGACTCGAGGGCGTTCCGTGGCGGTGCGAGAGAGACAGCGCGGGGTCGGCCGGAGGCTGTTTTTGCGGCGCTGCGTGACATCCGCGTGCTGACCGCCACGCCGCCACCGCTGCAGCTCGAGCGTTTTAATTTCGGCTTGACCGCCATGTCACGCCCGAGAGCACCGGCAGCGCCGTGGCAACGACCACGACGACCCCCGACGACCCCCAACGCCCCCCGCGGACGGCCTGGACGGCCTGGAAGGCCAAGCTGCGTCCCCGTCGGCGCCCCGCCTCGCCCCGCCTCGCCCACTCGAAGCAGCAGGGGAGGATGCAGGAGAGTGCCGGGAGGGCCGCGGCAGTGCTCCACCTGCGTCACTGTGACGTCTGGCGCCGTGCCCCGCCACGCAGTGCCGGTCGCGCGTCCTAATGTCCTACTGGGCTGCCGGTGCGCCGTGCTTCGTGATTAGAGCGGGAAGGCCAGGGCCCTGCCAGGGCCGCGTCAGTCCAGAGTCCAGACGGCTTGGGGCGTGCGCCAGCGTGCGCGTGATGGCCCGTGAAATTACTTCCGTCGAAATGGACCCCGCACCGGCCTGGCCTAACCTCAAGTCACACTGCTACCGTCGAGACCCGCGGGACGCCTGGAGTGAAGGCAATGTGCCCATGGTGTAGGGTCACATACGCACTGCTTAGCCAAGAGTGGCCGGTAATGGGTATGAGACATTTAGCTTAATTGCGTTTTTAACCACGTAATTTAATTTCTTTTGAAAATATGTTTTTTTTAATGTGCTGGCAGATGACCCGTCCTTTGGAATGCGTCGACGGCAGTTGAGTCGCCAGAAATAGAGCGGCGTCACCGCGTTGCCGCGATGCCGCGATCGTATCGAGAGGCGCTAATGGGCTTGTTAGGGGAATTCCCGCGGCCCATGACTGCCAGCCTGGCCGCCTGGGCGCCTGGCTCATGCACAGCGCCCTCCTCCCTGGAGTGTCCCTGACCATGATGCTGCCATGGCCCGCCATGCCCCGCTCGCGCGGACGCCGAGGATCGCCGGCTCGCGTGGGTGTCACCGTGTCACACTCACAGGTGGGGGCAACGGACACCTACACCTGTGCACACCTGTTGACACGGCAGCCGGTCGCGCGTCAAACGGTCCGCAGCCTGCGGTCCTGTCCACCACGGCGGCCCATCCACCACGGCGGCCAAGTCCACCACGGCGGTCCATCCCCTACGGTGGTCTAGTCCACCGCGGCGAGCTCGACGAGCCCAGTGCCATGATCGCCCTGGTCCTCGTCGGGGTGGCGGCCGCTTGGGTCGCCGACTGTGGCGCGCAGAACTACCAATTCGACGACCCCTTTTTCAGTGAGTTGCTGCGTCTCTGTGTCTCTCTCGCACCTCCACGCAACGCAGCACGCCGCGCGAGTGCGAGGGAGACGGAGTGGTATGAACCCCTCTAATCTCTCCGACTGGCTGGTTTGGCTGGCGCAGACCGCAAGCTGTTCGACCAGATGGACGACTTCTACATGCCGAAGCGAGAGAACTTCGTGGAGGAGCGCGACCCGGCGCTGCGCAAGAAGATGCGCTTCAGGAACGAAGTACGCCACGCCCTGCGCAGTGCGCACAGTGGGCCAGAAGGCCGGTGGGGGAGGCCAAAGTTCTATACGGGTATTGAGCTCTAGAGTGGCTAAATGCGATATGCGGAGCGAGCGTGTGACCCTCCACCAATGGATTCCTCGTTCGGAAAGTAATCCATTGCTGGAGTCACACGTTCAGTTCGAGTCCTGTTTAGCGACTCTGGAGCTCAAAACGCGTCCAGAATTTTGGCCTCCTCCGCCCCTGTCGCGTTTGATTCATTCGTCACATACCACCACATAGTTTTATCATGGCAGTCTGCTCTCCTCCTAATCTGTTTGTTCCTCCTCCAAGATTTGCTGTGGGACCTATGTGAAAGAAAACATGCTTCGAGAGGACAACATAAGGCAAGATTGTTACGAGGAGGTGTTTAAAAGTCCAGGTAACGTCTCCAGACAAATGGGAATCCTATGGGAGAAAATGAGTGGGGCACCGGCTGGCTACAATGTCGTTCTTTTTTCTTCGCGTAGATTTTGTGACGTCATGGAATTACTTTGACGCCGACAAGATAGAATCCGTAGCAGCGAAGATTATCGTAAGTACACAGAGCGGCAATGCCACTTTTTGAATTCCAACCTGACGCGCCGTTCTCCTTCTTGCAGTGCTTGCAGCAGTGTTTGTGGAAGAAACGGGGAACGGTAAGTCGATCGGATTACTTGGTCATCGCGTAAAGCGTCAACTGGCAGGTGCTTCTCCTTCCCAGATGGATGGCCGGTACGACCGGATCACGGGGCGTCTGCGCGAGCGGTACCGAGAGGGCAAAGGGCTGCGGGAGCCCAACCTCAACTTCCCGGAAGTCGCCGTCGCCAAATGCCTTCCCTCGAGAAACCGTACGCGCCTTCTGCCGCCCCCACGTTCCCTCGTTCGCGAAGGCCTGCACGCTGATTTCTGATTGGTCTGTCGGTTGCAGCCGACCCGTCCTCCTACTGGCTGGGCTTCGGCTCCCGCGGCGGCTGCAATCGTGCCTACTTGGACTTCAGCTACTGCGTCTGGGAGGAGCTCCACGCGGTGCGTGTTGTGTGTGTGTGCGCGCGCGCGTGTGTGTGTGCGTGTGTGTGTGTGTGAGCGTGTGTGTCAAGCTACCCCGATAACGGCCTCCCTCTCCGTTCGCAGGACTGCCCCGAACAGCTCTGGGACGCCGACAGTGAGTGCGCGGAATGGCCGGACCGGTCTGCAGTCTAATGTGGCGGTCTATGACGAGACACCCACGCGGGCCACGCCGCCACGCCGCACGCCCGGCCCTATGGGTGCCTCTCTCTCTCTCTCTCTCTCTCTCTCTCTCTCTCTCTCTCTCTCTCTCTCTCTCTCTCTCTCTCTCTCTCTCTCTCTCTCTCTCTCTCTCTCTCTCTCTCTCTCTCTCTCTCTCTCTCGAAATTGGCCCCTGGGAGTGCCCGGCTTCCCATTTGCCGTTTGCATGTTCGTTCCGTGCCCAGCCTGGTTCAATGGGTCCGCGGTGCGGCCCGTGGTTTACCGGTGCGTTGCAATCCCTTTGTGCTGTGCCGCAGATTCCTGGTGCGTCAAGACCAAGAAGTACCTGCAGGCCGTGCGCCGCGCGTCGTGAACGAGGCCGCGCAGCGCCCCGCCGCCGCCACCGCCTCTGAACCGCTCTGAACCTTCCCTCCGTGCCAACAAAACGTCCCAGCAGATCTTGTGCTACTCGTCCCGTCTTAAATTATGTTTAGAATATTCAGTCAGCGAATTAAGTAAAGAAAATGGAAGGCTGTCTGGGGATGTGGGCTTGATCTTTATTTGGCATCGAGCTTGCGACGCGACCGCTCATTCGACGAAGTCGTACAGGGGTGACTGCGTGACGTTCTTGAACGTGCGGTCCCAGAAGGCCATGCGCTCCGCGAGCAGGTGCCGCTTGACGGCGAGCTCCTCGCCGATCTCCAGGTACACCTCACGGCCCGGCCGCGACGGCGGCCACGCCACGCCCACGTCCTGGACGTCCGAGGCGACCGGGAGGCGGGAGAGGCTCGCGTTGCTGGGGGTGGGGTTCCTGCGCACAAGCATGCAGAGGCGCTCAATGGTACTCAATGGTAGCTCGACGCGCGGCACGGCGCCAGGCCAGCACATACCCGGTCTTGATGAAGTTGGTGAAGAGCTTGGTCATCTTGTCGCGCACCCGCTGCTCGCGGGACGTCTGCTTGAGGGCCGAGTGGCCCTTGAAGAGGTGGTGCCGGAAGACGTAGCTCAGCTCCTCCCCGTGGCCGGCGCCTGCGTCAAGAGCGTCCTGCACTGTGAGGAGAGGGGCGTGGAACTGCGCTACAAGCGGAAGCGGGACTCACCTTTCAGATTTTTACTCGAGAAGAAGAAGGACAGTCCGCTCTTGGCGGAGAACGTGAAGTGGTACAGGTACACGGGGCTCGCGGGTTGGGAGAAGTGGGTGAACCACTTGGAGGACACGTGGATTCCGTGCAAGAGTTGCAAGTCACCGAATAGCTGGAAAACGCCGCAATGAAAGTGCGTTCGAAGGGGCAAGCGAGAGAATGGGAACGGGTGGAAGCGCTCACGTCGATGAGCGCCCCGGCGGAGTCCTCGTCCACGTGGCCGCCGTCGAAGTACAGCTGCCGGACCTTGCCGGCCAGCTCCTGGCTCTGCTCGGGGTCCAGGCGCTGGTACAGCGGGTCCGGGACGGTGCACGTCATGTCCTCGTCGATCATCCGGAACCCCTCCTCGGTGGGCGGCCTGGTGACGCCTGGGGGCAAAGTACAGTGCGGAAGGTCATTTGCAGCGCTCTGCGTGCCGCATGGCCGCGGCGGCAAGTCTCTGTCGCACGGGGTAGAGCTGGCCGTGGCGGCAGCGGGGCGGCACTGACCTGTGTAGAAGATGGAGCCCTCCTTGCTGTTGGAGCCGATGATGACGGGCACTGGTGCGTAGCGGCCCTCGCGCATCAAGACGTCGGGGTGCTCGAGGAGAAACGCCTCCTCTCCCGGGAACTCCTTCTCCACGACGGGCGAGAAGGGGACGCGCCCCATGATGCTGCGCACGTCCTGCCGAGCGCGTCAAGCACCGCGTCAAGCACCGCGTCAAGCACCGCACCAAGCACCGCGGCCATTCAAGGCACCGTTCCAGCCTCCAGCCGCACAGTGGATTTGCCAGAAGACCGGTGGAGGCGGCCAAAACTCTGGACGCGTTTTGAGCTCCAGAGTCGCTAAATGGGACTCGAACCGACCGTGTGACCCCACCAATAGATTCCTCGTTCGGAAAGCAATCCGAAAGCAATCCGTCACACGTTCGGTTCGGGTCCCATCTAGCGACTCTGGAGCTAAAAAAACGCGTCTCGAATTGGGCCGCCTCCACCGGTCTTCTGGGCCACTGTGAGCGGCTCCACTCGCACTCACCTCCTCCCCCAGGACCTCGGTCAGCCGGTCGTTGATGTGCGTGTGCGACTGCTCGCGCAGGAACTCGACGCGCGTCCGCGGGTCGTCGGCCGTGGCGTTGTCGGCGCCGCACTCCAGGGCCAGGCTGCGGGAGAAGCGCTCGTAGTCGGCCGTCATCACGTACTGGTTCTGCGCGGTGCTGCTCGACATGATGGCTCGGTGGAACAGACCTGCGGGCACCGCAGCCGTCAGCCACAAGTCCGCCTCCTCGACGGCTTCCCTCCCTGGCCTTGCCTGGCCGCCTTTCCTACCGCTGGACATCGGCGACATGAGGTGCAGCGCCACGGACGCGCTGCCCGCCGACTCGCCGTACAGCGTCACCTTGTCCGGGTCGCCGCCGAACGCGCGGATGTTGCGCCTCACCCACCGCAGCGCCGCCGCCTGGTCCTTGAGGCCCGCGTTGCCGGGCGCGTCGGGCGTGCCGGTCGCGAGGAAGCCTGCGGACGGGACGGGCTGTTCAGACCACAGTGGGCTCTGGCCGGTGGAGGTGGCCAAGATACCGGGTGGGTTTTGAGCTCTTAGAGTCGAACCGAACGTGTGACGCCATCAAAGGATTGCTCTCCGAACGAGGAATCCATTGGTGGGGTCACACGTTCGGTTCGAGTCCCGTTTAGCGTCTCTAGCTCAAAACGCGTCTAGAGTTTCGGCCGCCTCCGCCGGTCTTCTGTCAGATCCACAGTGAGAGACACGCGTCCCACCGATAGCGCCCAGGCGGTAGTTGAAGGTGACCACCACCACGTCGAGCTGCATGAGGTAGTCCGGCCCGTAGAGGCTCGTGTCGCCGTTGCCCGCGATGAAGCCGCCGCCGTGGACGAAGAACACGACCGGCTTGAGCCTCTCGGCGGGCTGCTCCGACTGCGAAGCCTGCGGGGGCAAGAACAAGGCGAGGAACTTGAGTCCTGGGCGCCGAGCAGCGCCTCCTGGCCTCCAAGACGGACAAGACCTTGACCAAGACGCCCGACGAGGCGCGGGTAGGCCGCGCGGCGCCTTGCGTGCGTAGCGGGCCTGCCTACCCGCGCCTCGTCGGGCGCTTCGGCCTGGCTTGAGAGGCTGCGCTACTGCGCTGCTGCGCTGCGCCCAACCAACTCGGGCGGCACGTTTCCTGCGAACGCGCTTCGCTTACCTTCGGCTTGGGAGTGTAGACGTTGAGGTACAAGCAGTCCTCGCTGATGCGGGCGATGTAGTTGAACATGAATTTGGCCATGCCCGGCATCGACAAGACCATCTTCAGCATGCTGCCCATCGACTTGATCGGAGAGGTTTTCTGCCAATTTTTCAAAGATTGTGAAGACGGGAGAAGATTGCAATTTCAACCGAAAGGTAGACGCCGGTTGGAAAGTGAATCGGAAAGACAGGTTTTGTGTTGCTCCGAGTGTCGACGGGCGTCCCGAACGCCGCGTGGAGTACGGCGGGGTTCGCTCGACAAGATAAACATCAACGGCCTTCATCGCGGTGTCCAGCGCCAGGGCCAGGAGCGAGAGCGAGACGCAGGGGCCGTCGCTTAGCCACCAAAAACACACTCACGAACCCCCAGCGAGACTCACCGACACTTTGTGGGGCTGAGGACAAATGTTGCCCTCGGAGAGGGCGTCCAGCACGCCGTCCCAAGGCTCCACCGGCCGAGGCGCCTGCCAAAGTCAAAGCCGGTTCAGGGTTTGTCCGGCCAATGCTTTCGTCTCTCTGGCCCTCTCGCACTCGTGAGCCTTCCCGGAGGGGGTGCGAGAGGGAGAGAGAGAGAGACAGTGCCCTACCTTGAAGCGCAGCTCCTCGAGGGGGGGCTTGGCGTAGGGGATGCCCTGGAAGCTGAGGAACACCGAGCCGTCCGGAGTGATCCGCTCTCGGCCCCGCACCTCGCCGTCAGCCACCCTGACCTGCGTGCCTGCAGCAGAGAGGCCGGGCACGGGCGTGAGCGTGCTTGCTGTGCTCGCCGCGCCATCCCAGGCCGTCCGCACTCGCCGCGTCGTCGTCTACTCACTGTACGTGATGGGGGTCAGGCGGTCCGCGATCACCGCCGCCGCGATGCCGGCCGCCATGAGGAGGATGCAGGCCACGAGGACCCCTGCACAAAGACGACATGCGGCGCCTCGCAGTCAGGCGCACACCGGGGTGCGGACCGCAATGAGCGCACTGAGCGCACTGAGCGTAATGAGCGCAATGAGCGTACTGAGCGCAATGAGTGCAATGAGCGTACTGAACGCCAGAGGTGTTTGTGTATCAGTTGACGCACCTCTCGCAGTTGACTTACGCATAGTATTTCTATAAGTTAGCTACTCACCGCACACGAGACCGATGGAAACCCACGTCGCGTTCCATGCTGCGGGCAGGAACCGACGGCCTGGAACGAAAGGGCATTTCAAGAGTCGATTGACATGCACTGCCGTACTTGGTGACCTTCGAGAGGGCTTGCTTCAACAGAAACAGATCGGGCCGCGAGACTGACCTAGATTCTGGAGGTTTTTCTGAATTTGGACCATGCTGCGGTGCGGCGGTGCGGCCTGCGATCGCCGCCGGCCGACTGCCTCTCGGTCTCGGTGTGCGGTCCACGGGCGCCACGCCGCGGTCTACGCCGATCGACATGGCTCTGTGGCCCTGCACGCCACCGGACGCCACCTCGCCGCCTCGCCGCCACGGACATCGAGCCGTGCCGCGTGCCGGCTATGGCGGCACCCCAGCGGGCCCAGCGGGCCCAGCGGCCCAGCGGCACGACAACGACATGCACGAGGCTGGCGTGCCTCGCGGCTCTCTATGGCATCCACGGCGCGCCACCGCGTGCCACAGCGTGCCGTGCCACTGATTCCGAGAATGGTCGTCGTCGCTTCATCTCTCTCGTGGGGCGCCCCATGAGCGCGAGAGAGACAGAGCGACGGAAACGACTTTCGGAATCGGTCTGCAGACGGCGAGACTGTCACGCGGCGCGGTGGCACTAGCACTCCACACCAGAGACTGTCCTCTGTCCTTCCACACCACGCGTGGCCCGTTCGGTGGCCTAGGCCGTTGGCATTATCATCAGCATCAGCATCGATACTACTTAGAATGCAAAGCTCGTTGAAGAGTCCGATATCGTCGAATACGAACCATTTAGAGAACCACATTCATCCAGCGCGGAAGGCGAAACGGATGGAACCGCCTGCAGGGTAGGCAACCCAACACACGGTCACGGGGTAGATTTCTCATATTCTCGGACAAGGTTTTGCGCAAATTTCTCATAGTCATGCCGAACGCTGATGTAAACAGGAAGGGAGAAATAGGTTATGCTTAGCATACGTCATTTAAGTCTTGTTGGAGGAAAGTTATATTTTGGAAATTTTGTTGACGATGCGTTTATGACAGGCGACGAATTATTCGTTTTCTGGTAGAACATTAAAATTTTTTTGTGTTTTTAAATATTGACTGCATGTAAACTTATACACAATATTCAGTGTGTTAGTTGACGTCTATGTGTGTCACTGTCTTATCCCTTCAGATTTTCAAACCAAGGTGTGACTATGATTGAGGCGGTTGCTTCTCTTTTGACGGGCCCAGTATATTTAGCAGGAGAAAATGTTGAATGTAGCATTACTTTCTCTAATCCACTGGTTGCCAGGCACACCACATCTCAGAGTTACAGGTAAAAATGCAAATAATTTTAAATTAACTTTATGAGGTCCAGATCATCAATTAATTTATGTTTTAGTGATGGGTTGGAGAGTCTTGCCTGGGCAAGTGCCCAGATACACTGCCAGTGTTCCACCAATGCCAAGGTCGCTCATCCGAAAAGCAATACTTTGGCAGCGGAAGAACTATCAATTACAAACAAAGGTGCTGTTCAAGAATATTTATACTTGTAGCGAGGCTCTACCACTCTACCTCAGTTCATCTCTTAAATAAAGTGTTCTCTTATTTTTTTAAATATACCTTTTATATTTGTCATAGATACCTCCTTTGCCCCATGTAGAGGGGAGAATGGCCATGTTGTGATGTCAACTAAACCCAAAATATTACTTTGTGATTTGAGACTTGCTCCAGGAGAAGTAAAGACTTGTGAGTAAACAAATTATTCCCTAAAGTGTTTGAAGTGTAGCACATCCAAGGTAACTAAAGTTTTATTACTTTTAATTCCACAGATATTTATCGGGAAACTTTACCCAGTGAAGCTCCCCCATCTTATCGAGGGCAAGCAGTGAAATACTCATACAAGATAACAATTGGCATGCAACGTGTGAACTCCCCTATAAAATTGTTGAGAGTTCCATTTCGAGTTCTTGTTGTTAATGGTATGTATATACATATTCAAATGAGGCAGAATAAAATAAGGAGTTTATTATTAATTTCTTTTTAATTGTCAAACATTTACTAGGTCTTCCTGATTTGAGTGTTTGTGGAGACAGTGAAGATTTGGCACCCAGCAATCCATTTTTAGAAACTGAGGAAAAAGAAACACCCTTAGATGTCTCCCTTCAAGTATTACAAGTAATTAGTCAACAGCAATATTTTAAGGTAGGGACTGCAGTGTCATGGTCTTTCAAAAGCTTATATCATCTTGCATCTTTTTGACAGAACATTACTGCACGCAGAACTCCTAACTTTTACAACATTACTAATCAAAGGGGGAAAGTAGTACGGTTTTGTCTTTTCAAGAACTCTTATAAATTAGGAGAAGATATTACTGGAACTTTTGACTTCTCGTCAACAACTGTGCCTTGTGTGCAGGTAAGGCAACTGGTGGAAAACTGACGGTGAAAAATATCTACTGATTAGAAAATCAGTTCCAATTGTTTCTGTTTTTCAGTTTTCAGTAACTCTACAGAGTGAGGAAGAGATTGCCGCCGATAGCCGTCGTTGGGCGAAACAATCCTCAGCTGTGATTTCATACAGCAAACATCACGAAGTATGCCTCAGCTTAAAATATTCTCAGCTCATTTTACCTATACCTCTCCACATAACACCAGCTTTCACAACTCCTTTGGGTATGTCTAGCTGTCTTTTGCTCTTTAGCTGTCTTAATAAGCAACTGGAATTCCATAATTTTCATTTTGCAGTGTCTCTGAAGTGGCGGTTACATTTTGAATTTGTGACAACCACTACCCCACTAAGTCAGCAAGTGAGCAGTGATATCAAGAGCAATATGTGGCAGGGTCCAGGTGCATTGGATATAGAAACAATGGTGTGGAATCTTCCTGTCAATATTTATCCAACAACACCTTCACAAGTTGCTCAAGGGTTACAAGCCCAAACAAAATACTCAATAGCCTTGTGAGTATGAGTTGTGTAAGGGCAACGTGTTAAGTGATGAAGGTGTGTATCATTCGGCTTGAAGTAACATGCTAAATTTGGGTGGCATTGTGTCATTCACATCAATTTTGCCCAAAGATTGTATGAGTTGCAGGGGCGGGAGCAGAAGAGATTTGCACACCACAATGCCACCTCTGTTAAGCATGTTACTGGGTAGCTTCCAGATTGTCTGTGTGTTATTGAGAGGGCTGATTGAATCTTCCAGCCTTTGTGCATGTACTTTATTTAACTATGATGAATATTAAATATTTTAACTAGTTGCATCAACAATAAATGTATAAAAATTCTGAAAGTAGTAAATTTAACATCTTATCACCAATTCTCTATACTAACATATTATATGACAATATGACAAATTAAATCTGAGCAAATTCAGTACCAATTTAACAATTATATATTAATGATTGTAAATTGTAACACTAGAATAAAATGATTTGTTTTGAAAAAGTTCTTATTTTCTGCAGAAGATCTAGAAAAGATTGTCAAAAGTTAAATTTAAAAAAAAGAGTATCAAGAATTTACGAGTTTCTTGCAAAACACAATGCAGCTTAGCCTTCTAGTTTAGTACAGACAATGATGTGAGGCTTCATGGAAAGTTGAGACACCGACATTTTAAATTATTGTCCTGTTAGAAGTCATGGCCCCAACTACTTAAATTAAAAATTCATAAATGGTTCTTGCTTCTTGAAACATTTGTTGTTAAACCATCATTTTTACTATAAATGAAATCTTATCAAAATACATTCAGTCATCAGCCAGCGACTCCTGAGAAACTAAAAGACTTAAAAGCAATACATGGCAGCAGGTAAAATTTCAGCTTCCACTATGCAACCAGTGCATTTGTTTCCATCGCCCGTGTTTGAATTTTCCTGCACATGAGCTTAAGCAGGATCAGGTTTGTTAACATTGTTGTTGTGAAAGACATTAAGGGCAGACCACTGCTGATTGTGTAAGAGTATGTGGGGTCGTCTGGAACGCATGTGACTGACAGCTTGCTGCGGAGTCCAACCATTTTTCTACACCAAAAAAGAAACAAGCTTCTGTCAACAAAATGAACAATTGAAAAAAAAATACCATTCACAAAGAAGCACAAAACTATACGTACCATCATCAAGTAGCAGCCAACCAATGTTGCACTTCGTGTTCTTCCTGCTTTACAATGCACGTACACGCTACCTTTTCTCTCACCAGAATGGAATTTATTGATAAAATCAACCCCTTTTAGAAGTTTATCTTGGCATGGTGTCTCAAATATATCAACAGTGCTTAGTTGTAAAAACTCCACACCATATTGTTTCCAAGCCTGCAAACATACGTTTGGGATTTAAAGAAGCCTTTGACACAAATAACAGTATTTAGGGTGAATTTCTTACCTCAGCATCATTTGAAAACAGGCGCAACTCGTAATCTTCATTCATAGATATTACTGCCTTAATGTTCTCGGCTTTCACTAACTGAAAGAATGATTAACATGAAGGCATATCAATGTTAAATTTAAAGCAACATGCATAAAGATATAAAGGCAATGACACAAGCTCCGAAAAATATGTCACAATAAAGAATGTGTACTGAACATGTATCTTACCGTGTCCGCATCCCTTGCGAATGGTAGAGCCCCCAAAACTACAGTCTCGTCAATCCTGTCATACCATCGTCGACTGGAAACCTTTTCCATGACAACATTGTAAAAGAGAGTTGGATAAAATGTGATTCGTGCGAACATTGTGACAGAACATGTACGCGTGGTGTTGTGGTCACTTTCTCCTGCAGACCATCCAGCAGACGACTCAGCAGCAGCCTTAGCTTGGAGAGAAATCGGTTGCCGGTATGACGTCACAGCTAGGACACAACTCGAACTAGATCGATAGAATCGAACCGTGTGAATCGAATCGAAATCGACGAAGGCCGGGGGCCGGACGTTTCGTTTGTGTTTCGGTTTTTTTGACGAAAGTGGTTTTACAGAAAGTTGTTAGATTTGTTGGCGCCCCATTAGTGCGCGGAAGTTGTTGCTCCGTTGGTCCACCAGTAAAGCTTCATATTTCCTCTTCTGCGTGAGGAAAAGGAGAGAACAAACATGGATGAGCCTCCGCCACCCGGCGGTGAGGTTAGTTTGCTGTATTGTTTATGTATATCTTTGTAGAAACCTCTCTGCTATAGTTCGTATCTTCTTTGAACCTCGTCATACTTATGTTTACTTCGCACGTTTATACCATCTTTAATTTGCTCATGTCTAGCAAAAGACATATGTCCGATTATTTTCCCAAACTTGCCGAACTTGGCATAGTCCTAGCCCATATTATAGTCAACTAGGCCTTCTGACAAGCTTTTTGCCTCTTGAACCATCAATTTTTCCCTTTTCGTTTGAAGTCACAAGTGCTTTTTTTCTGTTTTAGATGATGCATATGACCGGAATGATGATGTCTGGAGTAAGTGCTTTTTGCGTTTCGGCAGCTTTTGCCATTTTGCAGTGCAGCATGATTTTTATCTTTTTCTTTTCGAAATCTAGATGATGCCACCTGGAACAGAGGCTATGGATGGTAGCATGCTCCATTATCAGCAGGAAGGTGCTTTAACAGCTCCTCCTCCACCCTCTTACGGAATGATGCCACCTGGAGAAGAGGTTTGTGAACCTCACATGGACTTAAGTCAGTGGTTGTGAATCCTTTTGCTGAGGGTTTTTGCTCACTCTGCTTTTTATGTGTATAGTCTCTCCTTCCCCCCGGAGTTGAGGATGATGACACTCCACCTGCTCCACCCCCACCATCATTTCAGCTTGGTATGGAAGATGATGAGGATGATGAGTTGAGATTGCCTCAGGCTTTAGAGCAAGCATTGGCCTTCAAAAGTCACAGAGCTCAGGCTTTAGGAGTGGACGAGGACGACCTGCGTCTCAGGAGTAAGTCGTTTCTTTTAGCTGCAGCTCCCACACCCTCCCTTTTCAATTGTTTATGGTGTAGTATGCTTATTCTGTATTTGATACATTACAGACGATATCCCTGAGGCTCCACCGGCACCTGTCATCTCTCACTCTGTGGCCGATGATGACTATGAAGATGAGGAGGAAAATGATGCCAGTCACAAATTTGCAAAGGGTGGGAAAATGACCAAGGTAAGAGCAATGGAAAGGAAAGGAAAGGTAGTTGGCCAAAACTTGTGTTTGCCAAAACATGTTTCGAAGCTCAATTTATTTCTTTGACATTTCAGGAAGAAATGAGGATAAACAAAAATAAGAGGAAAAAGAAGAAGAAGAAACTCAACAAACAGAATTTGCGCGTCCAGAAAGAGCAACAAGAATCAGGTGTTACAAGCAAAGAAACTGATGAGGAGACTGGTGAAAAAGATGTAGATGTTGAAATTGAGTAAGTCCAATCGGCCTCCTTATTCGGTTGAGCGTTAATTGATCTAGTTTTAATAAACTTTGGATTGCGTACTCTAGGTATATTCAGGAAGTATTGGGACTTCATGACTTGGACCCTATGTACAGACAGTTTGCTAAAGTTTTTGAAACTTTCCGAATCACTGAGCCTGAAAAGCTAGACAGAGAAGAAATAAAAAAAGAGGAGCCCGTTATTGAGTTCAAAAAAGCTCCAAAACCCATTGATGAATATGACGATGAAGATGAAGAGGAGGTAACACTGTCACAAAAACAAATATTTCATAAATGTGCCTTTGATATATACATATAAAATCTGAGCTGTATTTTAATTATTGTTTGTTGCATTGCAGAAAAAACTGGATGAAAAAAAGAAGTTGTCCAAACGAAAACTGAAGAAACTTACTCGCCTCAGTGTAGCAGAATTGAAACAGCTGGTATCTAGGCCGGACGTTGTAGAAATGCATGATGTCACAGCTAGAGATCCTAAGTTACTAGTTCAACTTAAGGCACATCGTAACACTGTTCCTGTTCCCAGACATTGGTGCTTTAAACGGAAGGTATATAAAATAATCTTGCTGTTTTATCGTTGAGCCCAGATCTGTTATGTTTGACTAATTTTCTTCCTTTTTTTGTACTAGTATTTGCAAGGAAAGCGTGGTATTGAAAAACCACCATTTGATCTTCCGGAATTCATAAAGAAAACTGGCATTATGGAAATGCGAGCCGCCCTCCAGGAGAAGGAGGACCAAAGAACCCTTAAAGCTAAAATGAGAGAAAGATCTAGGCCGAAGATGGGAAAAATTGACATTGACTATCAAAAGCTCCATGATGCTTTCTTCAAGTAAGGAACTTTCCTGCCTATTTTCATAATTTATTATTGATCCTTTCTGTGAAAACTTTACTTAACTTTATTTTATTTTTACTTTAAGGTGGCAGACAAAACCAAGGATGACTATTCATGGTGACTTATACTACGAAGGAAAAGAGTTTGAAACTAGGTTGAAGGAAAAGAAACCTGGAGATCTAAGTGATGATTTACGTACTGCTCTGGGAATGCCAGTTGGCTCTAGTGCCCACAAGGCAAGTGTTAACTTATGGCCTGTGAAAACAGAAAAATAATAATTCAATTTTATCATAATTTTTGTTTTCCCACCAGGTTCCTCCACCTTGGCTGATTGCTATGCAACGTTATGGACCGCCACCATCTTATCCAAACCTTAAGATCCCTGGTCTGAATGCACCCATTCCGGACAGCTGCTCCTTCGGTTACCATGCTGGTGGTTGGGGAAAACCTCCTGTCGATGAGTCTGGAAAAGCACTCTATGGTGATGTCTTTGGACAGCAAAATCGTGATCTTGATGTGTGTAAAGCCTGCTTTACTGTTCCTTATCATTCTATAATAGTTAAGCCTAAGTCTTTGGTTTTCAAAACATTTCTGCCTTTTTAACGTAGAATGATGCTGCTGAAGAGGAAGTGGACCGCACCATTTGGGGCGAGCTCGAGTCAGAGTCTGAAGAAGAAGAATCAGAAGAGGAGGAAAGTGAAGGTGAAGAGGAATCAGAGGACCAGACTGGTCTTGTTACCCCAGCAGAAGGCCTGGTCACACCCAGTGGAATGGCATCCATTCCAACCGGGCTGGAAACTCCAGAAATTATTGAACTCAGAAAGAGGAAGATTGAGAATGAAATGGATGGGTATGTTAGTTGAAAATCATTTAATTACTTCTACTTGCTTATCAGTAAATTAATATTATTTTATTTCCAACAGAGGGGACACTCCTGCGCAGCTTTACCAGGTCTTGCCTGAGAAACGTGTTGATCGCGTGTCTGGTGCAATGATGGCATCGACTCACATTTATGACATGACCAATACTAGTGCACCCAGGGAGGGCGTGCCTATCGTCCAGCCACGAGGGCGAGTTCAATTGCCAGGAATGTCGGATCAAGCTGTTGAGCTGGCGTTGGATCCGTCCGAATTGGACCTTGTGGATACTGAAGCCATGAAGGCCCGGTACGAGCAGCAGATCCGCGAGCAGAGCCACCTCCAGAAGGAAGATCACTCGGACATGTTGGCTGATCACTTAGCAAGACAAAAGGTGAGGTTCTCTAAAACATCAAGTTATGAAGGGTGGAACAAATTTACATTACACACAATTGAAAAATATTCTCGTTTGTTTTCAGAATAAAAGGAAAAGACAGCAAACACAAGCTGAGAAACCAACTAAGAAATACAAAGAGTTCAAATTCTAAAGAAGGAATATCTGAATGGGGAAGTATTGTAGGGCTCTCAGCTCCACTGCATTTTATCATAAAAATGCCAATCTTTTTTTTTTTTTTTTAACTCAAATGCAATTGAGTGTTTTATAGTTAGCAACTGACATGGTTGCTTCATGAATTGTCAGGGACATTGTACATAGTAATTAAATAATTTGATCAGAAGCAGTTGACTATTTTTTTATTTAATGTGCTTAAAAAAACAGTTGAAAACATTTTCAATTAACTGGAGAGGAACAAATTCAATGGAAACTGAACAGTAAAAGAATTTGTTTGAAGACTACAAAACTTAACATATTTAGAAATTACATGGTGTAATTCAATTAACAAAAGGTCAGTACCTTGACTGTGTAAACTTACTAGCTTATATACATAGAACAAAAAAACTTACTCTTATTGACATACGGCTAGAGCCCTAGTTGAAACAAGACATATAAGAGGAATATTCAATGATCACCAATACAAAAACACTTAAACTTTTGTCAGAAAAGTTTGAGTGGAAAAAAAGTCTTGATTCAAAAGTCCACTTATTCAATTTTAAGAGAGGTCAGGTTTCATCACTGAGAAGAGAGCTTTGTCCCTCTTTCATGAGCCATTTCAGTCAGTCAGTTAAGTAGTCTCATTATCTGATGAATTAAAACATTGTCATTTATCAGGAACCCAAAGAGCATGTGTGGTACTCTCATCACAATTCATTTGTTTAATTTTCATGACCATTAAATGATTCTTTATTAGATTACAGTATATCTAAAATCATTTTTCTGCAACGCAAAAATTATGAATATTGTAGGAGCACTTCTACAAGTAACTAAGTCTTCAACTGTGATAGGCATCTCCTATCCTACTGTTAGTTTTTAAGAAAGCAAAAAATGAACAATAGAGATACTCAGTAAATGCTATTCAGCTTTCAACCCATTTGGGTTTGAAGCTTTTTTAAACTTATCATTTAACTTTGGTTTGGTCTGCGGAGGCTGAGGAAGCAGATGAGGTAAACCGACAAAAGCAAGCACAGCCAATAAATGAAGATACAGGTACATTGACCTACAAAACAAAACAAAAAAATTACAGTAATAATAAAGTGTATAATAATTTTGAAACCAACAAGATGAGATACTTACAGGTAGCAGCGCACACTTGGTGTAAACTCCAAGAGAATAAAACTGAATGTAATGTAAGCCATGGTTACCCGTGTGGTCCAGAATGTCACCAAGTCGTAGAATGCTTTGAGAGTGACAGATTTTGTAAAGAATGGGCGAACATGACGACGAACCTGGCATGGAAAAATAAAACCTTAAAAGTCCTTTTTCACTTAAGCATAACTAGAGTAAGGTGTGAAGTTGCTTACCTTTCGGGCCGTAAATGTGAAAAGGGCACCACTAGCAAATGTCAAATAGTACCCAGGGTAAAAACCATGCCAAAAGGCAGATAATGCATAAGTCAAAACAGTTGCATTATTTTTAATACGATCGTAAACGACTAGCCTCAACCAGCAATTTGTACCCTTATTCCATTGTTCAATACAGTCTCGCAAGTTGAGTCCACACTGAAACATATTTTAACAGACCCAATTTCACTTCTTGAATTTGGTACAGAAAGAAAAACTGTGGTTAACATAAGATAGATCTGAAAACAAAAAGGCAAGTTTTGTCTCACCTCAAAACCCAAAATATTTATGTTGGAATGTAAGTCCCATCGAGGCGTGCCGTCCTCAGCATAGCCGTTGAACCCTAGGCCACTAGCATTGCAGATTGCATCGGCCAAAAGCCATGCATGATAATATTTGAAGCGATGCACAGCAGTAGCGACCATGAGGAACAGCATTTTGGACGGAACATCAAGTTCGAGGAATTCGGGTTCTGAAATGCAGTTAAACTCAAAGCTTAAAATCAACTCCATGTTAGTTTCTCACAAGTACTTATAATTTGACTGGCTGACAATGCTTTACCTTTTATTATTCGGATTGGGAAGACTGGCACATATTGAGTGAGTAAGAGAGCATACACAAGACTAGCTCCAACCTTTCTCATGACTGCCAACAAAGGTGAAGGTTCCAATACCATTTCTTTCTCAACATGATCGTCAATTCTCTTCACAAAAAGAAAAAAAAAAGGAGTATTAAACAACAAGTTAAGTTAAAAGGAAATCAGGTTTTCTGCATCATTTCAGAGAGTTTACTTACTATGTTTGTTCCAGAATGAGTCAGGAAATTTGTGCCATGAATGAACTCAATGTAATCCCTATAGAATATGATTGGTCCAGCCATTAAAGCTTGAAAATGGAACATGTATGCAAAATATTCTAGAACAGATGGCATTTTTCTGAAGAAACAAAATGAAAATATAATTTAGTTAAAATGGGGAAACGCTACAAAAAGATACAGAAAGACAAAAAAGTAATTAAAACTCAAACCGTAGAGCATGGTATTTTCGCACTCCCACAAGGTCTTCTTCCTTCTGAGTCAGGCCATCATGTAAGCTAAATGCCAAACTGGTCACTTTCTGTGTAATCACCATGAGGGGTCCTGAAAGGAAAATAAGTAACAATAAATCAAAAAATTTGATTATATTTACATAAAAAATCAGTAATTAAGAAAATTATCTCACCGGTAATATCAAGAGTATATGAGCCATAATCATATATTTGTCGATGCAAGTGGATGCACGACAGGTAGAAAAGAGCCACGGAGAGGACAGCTCTAAAATAGAAAAATTAAGCTGTATTAAGAAAAGAAAGCTGGCAGATTGAGTAAGAGTCAGATCAGGAGTGAGGCGGAGGAAATGCAGATAGCATGGAGAATTTCTCCAAGCAGGTGGTCTTGCCCGCCCCACTTCCTGCCTCGCCCCCGGATCCGCCAAAAGTGCACCTACATTTGCATTATCTTGGGATCCATGACGCGGATGACCACGTAGCAGACTGCGGGCAGCCCAGCAAGGTGGATGGCTTGTCTGCAAACAAGGAAAGAAACCGTGAACGTGAATGCCGATCCGAACACTTCGTCCGAGGCGCCGGAACCAGACCAGACAGCCAAGGAGGCCCAGGGCCCAGAGCCCTTTCGCCACTCTGTCTCTGTCACACTCATGGGGCTCTGCATAAGAGTGCGAGAGAGACAGAGCGACAAACCCGCGAGGGGAGCGAGGGACCCAGACCGATGGGCCGTGCTACACTGTGCTACGTGCTACGTTGCAGCAGCGTGCCTGGAGCCAACAAGTCAGACGGAGACAATGAGCTCGAAGCGTGAGTGGCCAATGGCCGTGCCTCCAATGCAGTACCGAGCCGGCCAGCGACCCACTGGCACCCATCGGCAGCGCCCAGCTTCCATCGTCCGCCAGCGCAGCGTGCGCAGTCGTGTCCCGTGTTCCGCCTCCACAGGACTTCCCCCTGGTTGCCCCCCTGGTTGTGGTGTTCGGTCGTCACAGTATTGACCCCTGGTTGCCCCACCCTGTATCTGTTAAGTGGAATGGCCTGTTGTGGCATGTACAGAGTGTGAGCGCCTGTCGTGGTCCAGGCATTAATCGCAATCGGATATGCTGTCAACCCCTCCCAACACACCGGTGTGCGGACGGTGGCCTACCTCGCCCCTGCCAGCCGCTAGCCAGCCAGCCGTCGTCCTGACAGGAAGGAGAGAGAGAGAGAGATAAAGGGAGAGGGGGAGAAACTGCGACTCCACTTGGGGCCGCAAGCGGGGACGTGGCTACCGGCTGCTACACTGCTACCGCCGGCCGGGCCGACGCCGCCGACTGCCGAAATGCGGGGGACCAAGCAGAGAGGCCGAGAGCGCGGAAAAGGTCAGGGTCAAGGTCACAGGACGTCGCAAGCGCCAAGCGGCAAGCGAAATGGGTTCTAGATGGCGCAACTTGGGCTGAATTTGAAAAGGACGACGCGCTGCGTGGTCGGGGTCCCTTTAGAAGCCCCAGGTCCAGGCCCCTTTGGCCACGTTTGGCCTTGCTTGGGTGTGTGCGTGGTTCGAGGTTCGAGGCTCTGTGCTGTCCGCTCTGCGCCTCCCTGGCTACAGTCCCTGCAGTCCACTCCACTGGCGGCCCGCCGGCCATGATTGCCCTCAACGTGACCTGCACACCCACAACAACAGTCCAGATCTCGCAAGCAAATTGCCGTCAATCAGCTTGCAGTGCAGTGTCGGGATGCATGTGTGTGCGTGAGGGCCCAAGTCCAGACTCCGCCGAGCCGGCCGAGCCGGCCGAGCCAGCAAAACAGTGGTTTCGTCGCTCTGTCCTTCTCGCTAAACAGGACTCGAACTGGAACATGACCCCCACCCCCACCAATGGATTCCTCGTTCGAAGAGCAATCCATTGGTGGGGGTCACACGTTCGGTTCGAGTCCCATTAGGCGACTTTCGAGCTCAAAACGTGTCTAGAATTTTGACCGCCTCCACCGGTCTTCCGGCGAGCCGCTGTCTCTCTCCCCCTCGGGGCGTTTCGTGTGAGTGCGAGGGAGACGGACAGAGCGACGACACACTGTGAGGCGGAAGAGCGACGACGACGACGCGACTCTTGGGGTCACGGCACGGGGTCCGCGACCGCGACAATTCGTCCGACTTGAATGGGCGACCTGTGGACTCGGCCCGCCCCGCCCCGCCCAAGCTGCATACTTACGCCCCGAAGCAGAAGTAGCCGAAGAAGAGCCCCAGGGCCAGGGCCACGCCGTGCCTCGCGGCCGCGCCCACCCGCTTGGGGTGCAGGCGGCCGCGGAACAGCGGGGCCAGCGCGAGGGCCAGGAACTGCGTGATGAGGAAGTTGACCTGCAACCAGACCAGAGCAGCGAGGGGCGGTGAGAGGCGCGGCCTGAGCGAATGCCAACGGCACTGCACGGACAACGGTGTGCATTATGCATGGCAGCATGGCACACTCCTCCTGGAGCATGCATCATGCATGCACACCGTAAGCGTGTGCTTGCATGCACTGCACACTTCGCACTTTTCAGTTTGCGGAGCGCGCGGCCCGGCGACACGCGTCCAACGGCGTTTTCCACGTCTTCCAGGACCTTGATGACGAGAGCGCCGAGCGTGGAGCCGCTCAGCCACGCCCTGCCACGCTCTGCCACGGGCGGCCAATAATGGAATGGAAAATGCGGGGCACACGTAGGAGCCCGGCAGTTTTCCGTCACCCTGTCTCTCTCGCACCCCCACGCGACGCAGCGTGAGTGCGAGAGAGACAGAGAGACTTTGTTCGGAGTCAGCCGCCAAGCCAGGCCAGACCGAGTCGCCAGGCCACTCAGCGCGCCAAAATAGAATTACCACGGTGGCGCTAAAGGGGCGGAGAGGCGGCGCTGGAGTTTGCAAAGGCTGCCTCGCGGTTCTAAAAGGGGGAGGGGGCTGCACCCATACTGCTGCCGCTCTGGAAAAAGGCTCTCTCCACGGCAGCAGCAGGGAAGAAAAAGGGAAGCCAGTCTGACACCAAAGAGGAACACGATCTGCTCGTTCATTTTGCCGCTGGCCATCCAGGCTCTCAAGTTGTTGAGAAGCAACTTTGGGCGCGCCACTCACGCCACGCAGCTGCGCGCTGCGCCGCCTGGGTGCGCCGCGCCTTCGTGGGCCTCCAGGAGCACGCACGAGTTGGTCCAGCCTGGTCCAGCGTTCCGGCGGCCTAGCGAGGGCCTAGCGGTCCGTCCGGGCGGGGCAGCGACGGCAGCGACGGCAGGGGGGCGGGATGGGGCCGCGGGGGGAAGCGCGGTGCCGCGTGGATGTGGCTGGCCGAGCGCGGATCGCCGAGCGCGGAGCCATGGTGAAGCAGAGCATGGCCGCGCAGGCTCCGCGACTCCGCGCCGTCCGCCTGGTCTCCATGACAACCCGCAGGCAGCCCGGGCAGCGGCAGCGCCGCGGTGGCAGCGTTATCGACGTCCGAAGAACAATACTACTCGTTGCCGCCCGCCCCGCCCCGCCCCCGCGATTCGGATACTTGGTCGTCCCCCGTGCCGTCCGGCCGCGTGGCCTGCACCGCCTCAACGCGGGGGTGACGGCCGGGCCGGGTCCGCTCAGTTACACGTACTTTGCTCCGAGTGTTTGCAAAACGGTGCAAAACAAACTTGGCGGGCGCGGGGCGGGGGGCGGTGCGGGGCCGAGCACAGCCCCACAACAAGCGCGGTATGCGCTGGTGCTGCTTGGTGCAGGCAAGCCAGGCAAGCAAGGTCAGACCGGCCCAGGCCGCTCGCTTCGTTAGGATGGCCAGCATGGAGCGGGGCGGAGCGGGACCACAGATCGGCGCTAACCAACACCTCCACCGGAAAAAAACCAGCTGTAACCGTATGCTGAATGTCTTTCGTGGCCAAAATAGCCAATCGTAAGTGGCTTGGAACAGTTGTCACCGAAAGCAGACACACGCACGTGTAGGTCCTGAATGGATGTGGCGTCTGCCACAGCCGGCTGGCTCGGCTGGCTTGTGAATGAGCCGGAAAGTCTTGTTGCCTACATTTCAGGCTGCCTGCCCTTCGAACAGGGATCGTTGTTCATCGACGCGTTCTCGGGGCAGAGTTATTTTCGAGAACGGCCTGTTCGTTTGACGACTGGGCGCCGGGCGCGCTGGGCGCCTCTCGCGGACGGCTGACGCGGGCTGACGCGGGCTGACGCCGGCTGACGCGGCCTGCGCGGGCCGAGAGTGGCCGCGAGGCCAGAGGGGCCATGGGTCCAAGTGGGCATCTCGGCCCGATATAACGGATATAACGTAAACGCGGCGCGGTGGTTCAGGCCGTTCGGGCCGTTGGGGCGTTCAGCCTTCGGCTGGCGGAGTGCCGAGCTATTCTGCTCAAAAAACAGGATGCACGAGGAGCTGCTTCAAGGTTCAAGTGAGGCATGCCAAGGCGGCAGGGCGGGGCGCCGTCGTGTGCCTAGAGGGCCGTGCAGTGCAGGGCCATGCAGGGCCTTAGGGCCCGCACCCTCTAGCCCATCGTTTACCCGGCAATCACTCGGCCCGACGGCCACGTGTTTAGTAGTGTAAAGCAGGGGGGGGGGGGAGTGACCAGGAATAGCGGGGGGGGGGGGGCAGCCAGTTCGACATGGGCGATGGCTATAGCGGACGGAAGAGTCTACTCAAGGTAACAGAAACAGAGCAGCGCGACGAGGACGACGAAGGACACCCAGCCCAGCGCCTTGGCTCCTGCAGGGCCGTTTACGAGAGGCGACGCGAGAAGCGAGGCGAGGCACCGTCTTCTTCCTCCACTGCCCCAAAAATATCGCTCGGCCAGCCCGGGATACGAGAGCATCCAGTAGGACAGCGAGGCGGCAGTTCTGCGTGCGGGCTAAGGCAGCCTTTCCGCTGCCGTTTTGGCGCTGCGACTTTGACATAAAGCCCTTTGAACGGCTTCGATCAGCCTTCCTGCATAGCCTTCCAGCATGTTGCACAAGAAGACGTTGGCATCCTAGCCCTCCTCCGGATACGGGGTGAGCGCCCCGGTCAGTCCTGCCCGTCCTCCGCCCTCGTGGTCGCGACATCCGACAGCCGCCCAGCCCGCTCAGTCTCTGTCACACTCATGGGGCCTCATGTAACAGTGCGAGAGAGACCGGGCGACAATCGGCTCACAAACGGCCAGCCGGTCTCACATTGGGCTCAACGAGATCAACAGGGCGCGCCTTCGTCCAGTAGGGTCCACGACACCGCGGCGTGCCGGCCGGCACCACACGGCACACAACGGGGAGATAGGAGGGCCACGGCGTCGCTCTGTCTCCCTCGCACCTACGCGGCATGCCCCATGAGCGCGTGCCAGAGAGGCAGCGCGACTAGAGCTACTCTCGGAATCAATCTGCTGCAGGCTGAGGCTGGCTGAGGCTTCCTGGAGGACCACGAGTGCGGCGTGGAGATGCCTGGCGCTGCACCGAGCAGCACGCCCCACTGGGGTCGTAGCCGCCTGGGATCGATAAGAGTCCGTGACGCGGGACCCGGGACGCCTCGCCCCCTCGCTGGCGGCGCTGGCGGCCCGCGCGCGTCCCCTGCAACCTGCACCTGGGGGAGTCTGAGCTGCGGAGCTGCCAGAGCCATGGCAGCCTGCCGCTGGACCGGAGGGGCGCGGGAGTAAGAGGGTAAGGGGGCTCGCGAGCGTGGGCGTCGACCCCTCCCCCTCCCCCTCCCCCCGGCGCCAGCTTCTCCTGCTTCGCCGCATTACCAATTCAACGCGTCGCACGCGGCCACGTAGTGCGGGGAATAACGTCAATAAGAGGCGTTTATCTTCAAAATATGATCGAAACGATTTTCAAACGGGAATCGGTAGTTTAGACGGCCCTGATGAGAACTGGCTATGGAGACATTCCGCCAACTCGCCGGAACAGGGTGAAAAACGGGTTGCCTACCTACAGGCGAAAAATTTATAATTTGGGAACAAGAAGTCGCATCGAACCCGTTCAAGCGGCGGAGTGTTCGGACACACAGGGAGAAGCTTCAATTAAATTGGCGCGCTTAAATCTTGAGAATTGTGGCGTCCACAGCAAAAAATGTGTTTCTAGTTTCTATAATTGCAGTTATTTGAACTTTTTGCTTACACACCGTACAAATATTTTTGTACCACGAGATGCGCTGTTCTCTTGCCCGTCCGTGGAGTGTTTCGGATCGCAAATAGGAGCAATGGTTCTCGATCTACAGCGATTTTAGTGCCGCGCGGCGGCAGTTCCGCCGCTCTGCCGACGCGCTCGCCTGGCCGGCCGCGGCCGGTGGCGGCAGGCGGCTGCAATGGAGCGGACCGGCCACGACGGTTTTCCTCCGGAAAAGCACCCTAAATTTTAAGATATCAATTTGAAATTTGGCAGGGGGGTCACTCACTGACTCCACCATCGAGTCGCCTATAGAGACATGCTGCCAGGCGGGTTGCCTACTTCCAGGGGCACTTGACGGGAAATGGGCGATTTTGACTGCTTTTCCCTCGGAAAACCTTCTACCAAGTGGAATCCCAAAATGTGCGCTGTTTTGTCAGCTTTCCATCGAGTGGTCTGCGGCATTGCTCGCCCTAGCGAGGCCCACAGCGCAACGTTCAAAGCGCCGCGAGGTGCGCGGTTACAGGTGCTGGCGGGGTCGCGCATCCTGAGCCGGGAGCGTTCTTTGGCTCCCTCGCAACCGTCGCAACCGTCTGTCATAGTAGACTATCCCTACACTTAAAAATGGGAAAAGCACCTAATCTCTAGATTGTATGCGTGTATTTGAACCGTATTTCGAACGGTTCGATCATCCACGCCACGGGCCCCAAGCCTTTGAACGCTGCTACTCGAGACCGGCCCTGTCTTCTCATCGTCCCTGCGTCGGGAAATTATTTAGTCGTGTTCACCACCCAATACTATAGCATGGCGGTCAAAGAGAGTCCCGTCCTTGCCATAGTACCCGCAAGGCGCTAAAAAGTTGTGCGCTACACTGGAGTAAAATGTCCTGTGACTTCAACGGCATTGCGCCGTGCAACCGCGAAGAAGCCGATGGCCGGCTTCTGTTATACACGTCGCGGACGCAGACGTGTCACGGGGCTGCAGCAAGGTGATGGTTCGGACAGTGGACAACAGAAGTCCTTGTGCTGGCAGTCCTCTTTCCGTCACATTATATTTGATAGAACTATGTGCATAACTGGGCAAAATCCTGTGTTGGTCCGAACCATCACCTTGCTGCAGCCCCGTGACACGTCTGCGTCCGCGACGTGTATAACAGAAGCCGGCCATCGGCTTCTTCGCGGTTGCACGGCGCAATGCCGTTGAAGTCACAGGACATTTTACTCCAGTGTAGCGCACAACTTTTTAGCGCCTTGCGGGTACTATGGCAAGGACGGGACTCTCTTTGACCGCCATGCTATAGTATTGGGTGGTGAACACGACTAAATAATTTCCCGACGCAGGGACGATGAGAAGACAGGGCCGGTCTCGAGTAGCAGCGTTCAAAGGCTTGGGGCCCGTGGCGTGGATGATAGAACCGTTCGAAATACGGTTCAAATACACGCATACAATCTAGAGATTAGGTGCTTTTCCCATTTTTAAGTGTAGGGATAGTCTACTATGACAGACGGTTGCGACGGTTGCGAGGGAGCCAAAGAACGCTCCCGGCTCAGGATGCGCGACCCCGCCAGCACCTGTAACCGCGCACCTCGCGGCGCTTTGAACGTTGCGCTGTGGGCCTCGCTAGGGCGAGCAATGCCGCAGACCACTCGATGGAAAGCTGACAAAACAGCGCACATTTTGGGATTCCACTTGGTAGAAGGTTTTCCGAGGGAAAAGCAGTCAAAATCGCCCATTTCCCGTCAAGTGCCCCTGGAAGTAGGCAACCCGCCTGGCAGCATGTCTCTATAGGCGACTCGATGGTGGAGTCAGTGAGTGACCCCCCTGCCAAATTTCAAATTGATATCTTAAAATTTAGGGTGCTTTTCCGGAGGAAAACCGTCGTGGCCGGTCCGCTCCATTGCAGCCGCCTGCCGCCACCGGCCGCGGCCGGCCAGGCGAGCGCGTCGGCAGAGCGGCGGAACTGCCGCCGCGCGGCACTAAAATCGCTGTAGATCGAGAACCATTGCTCCTATTTGCAATCCGAAACACTCCACGGACGGGCAAGAGAACAGCGCATCTCGTGGTACAAAAATATTTGTACGGTGTGTAAGCAAAAAGTTCAAATAACTGCAATTATAGAAACTAGAAACACATTTTTTGCTGTGGACGCCACAATTCTCAAGATTTAAGCGCGCCAATTTAATTGAAGCTTCTCCCTGTGTGTCCGAACACTCCGCCGCTTGAACGGGTTCGATGCGACTTCTTGTTCCCAAATTATAAATTTTTCGCCTGTAGGTAGGCAACCCGTTTTTCACCCTGTTCCGGCGAGTTGGCGGAATGTCTCCATAGCCAGTTCTCATCAGGGCCGTCTAAACTACCGATTCCCGTTTGAAAATCGTTTCGATCATATTTTGAAGTTAAATGACGTTATTCCCCACACTAACGCTGCCTGGCGGCACGCGGCGGTAGCGGCTTTGCAGGGCTGGCCTCGGAGGGTGCAGTGCAGCGCGACTCTGGGGCTCAAAGCGCGTCTGGAAATTTGACCGCCTCCACGCCTAGCAGCGCAGAGGGTGCGGCTGCAGCCGGGCTCGCGCGACGCACCTCATGCAGTGCACCACAAGCACGGCAGCATGACGTGCCCCCCGCCCCCCGATCGGCCACTGCCACGCCGGCCACGCCCACCCGCCAAGGACGCGTCCCCGTGTCCCCGTGCCTCGCCGCGACGCGACACACGCTGCGACGTGGGCGTGACTCACTCCGCGAGGCCCGTGTGGCCCGGCCGGCCCGGCGCGCGATGCGGATTACGGAGGCAACGCAAATCCCACATCGGAGACACGTCACTCGTCTGTCACTGCAATGATAATCCAAGCGCTTCGCGTATGAGCGTCAATCGGTGCAGTAATGCGTTCGACGCGTCTTCATAGCGCGCCAGTTGGTGCAATGCTTCCCATGCATTAGCATAAGGCGGCATAAGGGCATTTTCTAGGCGATGTAGCCACGGCATCGCGCTAATGGTGCGATGTCTCAGTGCATTATTGCACCATACGAGCTGCTTGCAGCGTTTGGAATGGCAGTGTAGGCTCTGCCGGCGGCCCGTTGCCTTAGCCGTCGCCCGCTTTGGTCTGCTTCTGCTTCGCTCGGGCAAAGCGCCAAGCGCCACTTCAGGCCCGCTTCATTGAGGACCCAACGCCAGCTTCATCGCCGACACGCTGATTCCCAGCAGTGATCTCATCGCTCTGCCTGCCTCGCCTGCCTCGGTCGCGCTCATGGGGCGTCCCGCGGGTGTGTGAAAGAGGTAGTGCGACGGATTGTCCGCGGAGCACCTGGGAGTGCAGTGCGTCGAGCGTCGAGTGGCGTGAGCAGGACGACCGTTATCGCTCGGCCAAGCGGCCAAGCGGCCACAGCCCGGCCGTGGCGGGGCCGCGGGGCGGGTGTCGAGTCGCTGCCGTACTCGAAGGACGCACGCTCACTGTTTGTTGTTTCGGCGGATGGCGGTGCGAATCCCGCCCCCCGCGGGCTGATGAAAATGTCGCGCCACCTGACCTGCAGGCTGCGGGCACCGGGCGGGCACCTGGAGGACGATTCCATTCAGTGTTTCATCGCTCCGTCCCCGTCGCACTCGTGGGGCGTTTCGAATGGGAGAGAGAGAGACGAAGCGATGAAACACTGCATGAAATCGCCCTGCTGGCCCACGCCAGCGCCACTTCAGACTTACACTGACTGATCCTTCCGCGTGGGGCGGGGTGCTCCCGGTCCGAGTCGCTGCATCTCGAGCGCCGGCCTGTCCCCGTCACTCCCGCGCGAGCCAGTGACAACAAAGTCTACTTTTAAGTTTTGGCAAAAGCCCTTCCCTTTTCCCGCCGCCCTGCTTGCCTGCCTGGCCGGCCCAGTACGCCGGTGACCTTGCCGCAATGCCGGTGGCGCTGCGTGGCCTTTGTTGAGGAAGGTCCGGAGGCGAGCAGAGTGCTGGCGCGGAACGAACCATAGCGGCAGGATCGTCAGGGATGTCATCAGCCAGCCGGGTCCGCGCTGCGCGGTGCTTCGCGTGATGGGACGCGATTGCCATCGCCGCGTCCTGGACGTCCTGGTGTCAAAATCATTTCCCGCCCCGCAACAAGTCCGGCCAAGTCTGTGGAAGGGTCGCTGCCCTCCGCCGCCCCGCCCCGCCCCCTTCCTGGATACATGCGCCGCGGCTGCCGTTGACACTACCCTACCCTACCCCATCCCCGAGGCCGGCCGGCGCGGCGCGCGCCCCGCCCCCTCGGGACCGCAGCCACCGCCCGCGGCGTCCCGGCGGTGCTGGTCCTGGCCGGCCGCGTCCCTCTCTCGTCCCTTCCTTGCCGCCGCAGCGCTGCAGCCGGCGTCGCCGCGTAGCGTATCCCCGTATACCTGGTCAATGGGCAGCCCCGACAGCTCGGCCAGCCAGGAGAACAGCCTGGAGCCGTCGTAGAGCTCCATGCTGGCGGCGGCCGCTGCAGCGTCGCTGAGTCTGGACGGGCTCTGCACCGCCACCCGGCGAATCCACTTGACGCCGGACTCCACCTCCATACTGAAGCGATGCGCGGTGCGATGCGCGGATGCGAGCCTGGCGGCCGGCCACGCTGCCCCGCCACACAAGCAGCAGCCGGCGAGCGCAATGAATGGGTGTACACTGCGCGGTGACGGGACGGGAGGGCCGAGGGCAGCCGAGGGCCAGGTTAGGAGAGACGCGCGAGAGCCTTGGCGCGGACGGGACGGACGCTCCCTGTCAGGATGTGGTGTGGACGGGCACGGGACTGGGGAGCGCGCGGCGCGGCTCGGACGACGCGGCGGCGGACCGGGAATGGTTGGGATCACGGGCTGTGGCGAGACGGAGGGGTCGGCGCTCGGCTGCGTGCGAAAGCGACGGGAACGCGCGCCATCCCCGCCAGCTGCCGTGCGCGCGAGCAGGAAAGCCGCCACGACGCCGCCGTGTCGGACGCCACCCAAGCCGCTCGTGTGGGCTCGGCCTGGCTCGGCTCCCGCTTCGGCCGCGCTCGGCGCTCGGCTCTCCTCCTAGCCGCGCCCGGCCCGCCACGCCTACCACCCCTCCTTGAATCTCTGGAACGCGTCGCGTCGCGTCGCCGGCGCTGAGGCGAGGTGAGCACTAGCACTGGGCAGTCTGATCTCATTCTGATGCGGCGTAGCTCCAGCCAAGGTGATGTCATTTCACCTCCCGAATCTCTCATTGACGGTCAAGGATTCAGTTGCAGTTAATTCTATATTCACTTCCCAACTTTAATGTTTATTTTATGTATGTACACATTTTCAAAAGACTGGCAGGCTTAATTTACACAAATGTTTAACAAATTTACAAGCTCGGCATCTATTGTTGACCTACCACAAAATGCTCATTAAATCACAGGCTTTGGGGGTACAACCTTTTCAAGATCGCCAACCTGAAATTACATTATAAATAATTAAACTCCTGTTCAAGTAAGATAGAAATTCTTATTATTCTAAATGGAAAAACATTCTTACCACAGACTGAATGTATGATCTGTATTTGTGGTGCCTCAGAAGCCAGGTGATGTTTTCTTCCAGCGGAGAGGGAACCATTCCTAAGTCAAGCAAGGTTGGTGTACCATAATCAACCTCATCAGTTGTTGCTTCCTACATTGTGTGGAAAAATCAAATCAAATGAGGTGGTTAAGAAAGAGGACAAGTGTAAAATAAGAGACCAACAAAATTATGAGACTTAACATATAACATTTTCAAATAAGAGAAGTGTTAAATCATTCAACAGCATGGGAAACATAATATGATAACTACACATGTATGCTTGAGGAAACTTGAGGAAACTTACCAGCTCCAGCATTTCCCTGCTCATATTGCCAATGGGTTTACCAGGCATCATTTCAAAAGCCAAAACCTTAGCAATTTGGAAAGGGGTGAAGCGTAAATCAGAAATCTTAAAGCCTTCATCTTCACCCATCCGCATCTCATTCATGATCCACAACATTAGATCATAAAGATAATAACGATGCGGTCTGCAGGAAAAAAAGACAAGTTAGACATTTAAGTGCATTTAAGGTAATGAGATGCACAGATCTATGTTACACATGAGCACATAATATTCAGGAGACATGAGACATTTAATGTCGCTTACCCAACTGCTTGATATGTCTTGCCCTCACAGTCTGGATTCTTGATGATTTCATAGATTGCAGTGGCAATATCATTCACAGAAACTGGCATTTTAGTGATACCCAAACCTTTCTTGTACAGAGGGAAATGATCCTGGCCTCTTCGCAAGAAATGGACATGTCGCCTGCAATAATGAAATAAGAAGTGCAAAATGAAGAATAGTCGTTGCAATATTTTGCTTACACGTGTTTTAATACTCACATCAACCAACGGTCTTCAAGACCATACACAATGGATGGGCGCAAAATCACTGCTTCTGGGAATTCCTCCCTAACTGCTATTTCCCCATAGTATTTGGATTTCAAAACTCCTGATCCACCCAGAACCATTTTAGCCTAAGAAGAAACAAATGTTAAGTAATTTAGGCCATGATGAAATAAAATTTATGTTAATAGTTCTTTACTAAACAAAAACATAGCTTACCGCAGGTTTAGGAGTAGCATTCAGAGCAGAGACATGAATAAATTTTTCCACACCCATTTCACGACTGATTCTCGCCAGTCGGCGAGCTCCTTTAACATTAACATCATCAAATGAGAAGTTCTTTGTCTCCCAGTCTCGTCCAATCAAGTTAATGACAACATTAGAATATTTAACAGATTTGCGGATAGACTCTTCATCTCTCAAATCAAATGGTTGAAACAACACCTGTCCTAAATCACCCACTAATTTCAAGGGGAAAACATCATAGTTATCACCACGGTAGGGAAGAATCAACTGTAAGAAAGAAAACAATTTCCCACTGTTAAAGTCAGATCAAATCTGAAAGTTACTTTATTATTCTGAATCTTACTAACCTGTGAGCCATGCTTCCCAAGCTCATTGCAAACATAGCTACCCATGAAACCGGTGTTGCCAAAGACGGTTGCAACTACACCATTAAAACTTGAGCGCCCACCAGCTCCTTTGCGCATTTGGGAAAGGGCCGGTTTCTTGATGGGTCGGACATCAGAACTGTAGGAGACATGTTGGATGGCAGAGACTGCAGCAGCAGTGGCTCCGAACTGCTGCCCTGGAAAACGAAGGCGATGGTTTACGTGAGATTAAACTGAGGGGAACAACAGACACAGTACCAGAGCACTATTAGTCATTTCACAAATGAAAGCTATCTTGCATGGCACTAGTAAGAACAGTCAAAAGATAACATACTTGAGACTTCACAATAGAATAAAACTAATGACAGTGCTTAGCAAACGAACAGAAACGAGAAGTCAATATAATAAAACTGTGACACTCAGCACAGGTTGCAAGGTTATATCTGACACCAAGTGAAAACTCATGTGAAAGGATACATCAAGCAGGGGGAGAGACAATTTTTGAAACGGTGGTCAGATGAGACACCGTCAGTTCAGTAAAATGGAATCAGCACGAAAGAGGAAACAAGAAAAACGAAAATTACTCACTCGATATGCAAAGGCTCCCTTGCAAGACGACGGCAGCCATGTTTGCGACTGCTTACAGCTGTTTTTTCGATCGACTAGGAGGACTTTCGAGAGCATCGATCTCACGAGAGTCGTCTCGAACCCGTCTTTTGTTCTTTCGGAAGCGAGGGTAGTTCAAATCCTAGCGGACGAAAGCAAAATGCAGAGGTTTTCTATCTGCATACCGGAAATGAAACGATGCTTTTGGAATTTTAAACCTTATTACAATTGGATTAATTGCTTCATTCATTGTCTTATTTACGAACGGAGATCACTACGGGCGATTACAAAATACCGGCACCTGGTGGTTGCCATGGCAACGCGATTGGCGTCGCGTCTTTTTATCGGTTCCGATTCGTGGCCAGTTGTCCCGGTTTTTTGGCTCAAATAAAAACACAAAAATACGGAAAACATGTTGAACTTTCAAATCATTCCGACGAAACAGGATTTGCGCGAAGCAGCCGCTATCGACAGGCGCCGCCGGAATGAGGAACAACGAAAGTGCCGAGTGTTCAACGTCAGGAACAGGGTTATTGGCGTGAGTGCTGTTCACCGCTCCACAAGAAAAATGACCCCGTCGGTACGCCATCGTAACTTTTATCATCGACTGATAATGTGGGTCGATTTTCGCTCGGTTTCAGCTGGATGTCGAGGCACTTGACGACCAAGTTAAAGAGAAGCGTAAATTGGCCGAAGATGAACGTAGACGACAATTTGTTTTCGACCAGCAAAGAGTTCGCGACGATCAGATTGCTATACTCGCGGAACGGCAGATCCAAGAAGTAAGTTCAGGCGTCAGGGATAAAATATTTACATTCCGTTCTCGTAAAAACGCTTTTTTTAATGCAGGAGCGGAAAAAGCTGAATCGAGAAATCAACTCATTCCGACAATACTACCAGCGGCCCGAGGATCGTAGGGAATTCGACATTTATGATCCAGACGCCCTGAAGAAAGACATTCCCTCCAGGATCCAGGACGACGATCCACGTTGTGGAGTCTCTTCTGCCCAGAAGTGAGTGCCCCGCCCCGCCCCGCCCCCTGCCTCATGACTGCACCGCTGCACCGGAGAGACAAGCCCTCCCGATCCTGGTTATGGCCTCGCAGGTTCGAGGGCGAGGACCTGGCCAAGCCGGAGCGCCGCCACCTGCAGACGGAGCAGCAACGGTCCTGGCTGCAGCAGCAGATGCGCGAGCGGCGCCGCGCCGAGGAGGAGCGACGCGCGGCCGAGGACGCGTACCAGGCCGCCATGGTGGCCAGGGACCTGCGCGCCTGCCAGCTGGACCGCATCGAGCAGCACTGCCGGCGCAGGCTCAACCAGACCACCGAGGAGTACAACCGCGCGCTGGTCAGTACGCTCACCAAACACTCGGCGATCTGTCTCCCTCGCACCCCTTCGGGCCTTCGGCACACTCCATGAGTGCGAGAGAGACAGAGCGACGTGTGAGGGCAGCGGAATCGCTCGAGAGCGTGTCTAGGCTGAAATGCATCGTCACGGATGCGCAGCCAAGAACCCCCAACTTGAACTTGGTCCTTCCCCAGTCTTCGGAGCAGGAGGCCCGGCGCCGCATGGAGGCGCAGCGCGACGCGGAGGACGCCCAGGCCGAGCAGTACAACCACCTGACGTCGGACATGCTGACGGAGAACCCCGACTGCGCGGTGAGCGCGCTGGGCTCCCCCCACGTCGTGGCCATGGCGTACCGGGGCATGTCGGACGAGGAGCGCGCCGCCATCCGCAGGGAGCAGCTGCGGCAGGCGCAGGCTCGGAAGGTTGGTCCCGGACTCTCTGCGCAGCACTGTGCAGCGAGGACAACGCAGTCCGCGCAGCCCCCCAATGATGTGGCCTCTCTTTCTCTCTTGCGCAGTTCGAGGAGGAGACCGAGAAAAGGCGCCAGGCCGAGTGGGACGCGCTGGCCGTCAACATCGCCAAGGCCATGGAGCTGAAGCAGATGGAGCTGGACCGGAAGCAAAGGTAGGTCGCTGTCTCTCTAGCAGCCTCAGCCCCGTGAGTGCGACACGCGAAGCAGGGTCTTGACGCGCTCGCTGTGCTCGCTGTGCTGCAGGGACATAAACAGGCGCACCATGGAGGACAACATGAAGCTGGAGGAGGAGCAGAAGGCGCGGCGGGAGTACTTCGACAAGGTGGTGGACACCAACGTGCCCACGCCCACCTTCTTCGAGATGTTCGGCACCTCCTCGCGCTGAGTCGGCTGTTGGTGCGATGGCGCAGGAAAGCTATGTTCGGTGTACCCGGTATGCTGGGAAATGGCTTCAATACGAGTCAAATCACTTCTTTTATGCATACTTTTATTGACCAGAAGGTTTTCTTAAATATTTTTTTGCACCGATTGTGGTGTATTTATTATACACTCTGTGATATTTTATGTTATGTCAATTTTGCAACCTTTTTTACCTTTTGGCATACGATAAATAAAATAAAATTTTTACTGCATGAGCTCAAACACATTGTTTTCATTTGTATAAAAGGGAGAAAGATAAACGTACGGGTGAGCTTAGTTCAGACCTTTTATGTCTAAACAGCCTTGTTTATAGAAGAAATTTGAGAAAGAAAAGAATACTGCGCAAGTCGCTGGACTGAGCCTGCCACAGCCTGCCTGCGTGTATACTGTAATGTTTACTCCAAGGATCTCGCCACTACATTACCTTACCGCATATCTCGTAGGATCTCCAAACAGACATGAAAAAATGAATGCCCAGATGCACCGCATCTTTGCGTGGACCTGCTGACGATTCGTGTCTTCGCGTCGCCCCCAGCCCGAGGGACCTTCCAAAGCGACCTCAGCCCGCTTGATTCGAAACCATCGAACGGCGTCGAGGGCACCCTCAGCTCGGGAACGCCGCCCTCACGTCGTCGTACCGTCGCCCTTCCCCGCCGAGGGCGAGGCCGGCGATGCCCACCGCCTGCCTGCTCGCCTGCACCACGTCGTCGTACCGTCGCCCTTCCCCGCCGAGGGCGAGGCCGGCGATGCCCACCGCCTGCCTGCTCGCCTGCACCACGTCGTCGTACCGTCGCCCTTCCCCGCCGAGGGCGAGGCCGGCGATGCCCACCGCCTGCCTGCTCGCCTGCACCACGTCGTCGTACCGTCGCCCTTCCCCGCCGAAGGCGAGGCCGGCGATGCCCACCGCCTGCCTGCTCGCCTGCACCACGTCACGCCGCAGCGCCACCAGGTGGTGCAGGTACTGCTTGGGGCTGGACAGTGACAGCGCCTCGGGCTTGGGCAGGGGGTTCAGGCCGCGCCGGTGTCGGAGGCAGGGCGGCGGGGGCGGGGGCCGGCGGGGGCAGTGCGGCCACGGCTCGAGGGGGTGCCCCAGCCCCAGCCCTGCCAGCAGGCCGGGTCGGGAGGGCCGTAGCGCGGCGGGGCACGACGTCCTGGGCCTCCAGGAGTAGCCCCTGCCGTAGACCGAGGCAGAGCTGTAGGCCGGGCCGTGGAGGTCCACCATGCTCTCGGCCTTGCGCGGCGGCACGGGGAGGACGGTGTCCGCGTCGAGGTCCACCTCCGCCCAGGACAGGTCTCCGTCCTCCCAGGGCCGGATCGGCCCGACCTGCGTGGCGGCGGACGCGGTGGAGCGCCCTGGCAGCACGCACTGGGAGCCGCGGGTCGCCGTGGACGGGCCTGGCTGGCGGGGCGCGAGCAGGCAGCACTGCGAAGCCACGTCCGCGATGCTCTGCGTCGACTTGCAGCTCACCTCGCTCCGCTCCGTCTGCGTGCTGTTGCACGCCAGGGGCGGCGGTGGTGGTGGAAGTGGTGGCGCTGGCGCTGGCGGCGGTGGCGGCACTTCACACACTTTATTGAGACCGGCGCTGGCCGTGCGCACGTACACCGCCGCTTCACCCAGCAGGCAGGACAAGCTCTGCAGCACGGCCTGCTTGTTGACGTCGGCCACTGCCGGGGCCCGGCGGCGGCACGGGGCGGCGCGGGTGGCGGGCGCGGTCTTGCGGCGCCGCTCCGGGCGCACGTTGAGGAGGTTGACGAGCAGGCGACGCTGCTTGGCGGTCAGGGCGGGCCCCGGTCGCTCTGGCCTGGATGTGGCCGCCTCGCTCTCGGTCGACGGGCTGCGGACGGGCCGCGCCGTCGCCGAGGGTTTGGGAGTCGGCCCGGGTGCTGCGTCGCCCGAGCCGCCCAAGCAGGGCAGCCGGAACTTCCGTGGGGCGCAGGTGGCGTCGGGCGGCGTGGCAACGGGCACGGCCTCGGGCGCGGCGGTGGGGACGGCCGGTGCCTCGAGAGGCAGGTTGTCCAAGCTGCGGGACCGCGTCGAGGTGGCCGCGATGGCGTCCTGGAGAGGGTTGGCGAGCCCGAGCTGCCCGTCCAGCGACAGCGGCTGCAGCGGTCGGACGATCTCCAGGCTGAACATCTGCTGCTGCTGCTGGAGAGGGAGCCGGACCACGGCCGACAGGGACTCCTCCAGGCGGCTGGACCCCGCCTCGGCGATGATGTCCGGCGGGGCGTGCTCTGGCGGTCGGCGCGGACCCTTGCACTCCGCGGCGGTCCGCCCCGCAGCCCCCGCAGCCCCCGCTGCCGCCACGTGGGGCCGGTCGTCCGTGGCCCCGCTGGGGGTGTGCTGGCCCGCGAGGCCCGCGGACAGCAGGAGTGGGTCGGGGCGAGGGGCCGCCGCGGGGCCCACGCCGTGGCCCACGCCGTGAGGCAGGGTCAGGCGGTAGGCGGCCGGCGCGTGGCGCGCGTCGTGCCCGGCATCGGGCGCCTGGTACGACACCCGCACGTCGCACACCAGCAGCTGCGGCTGTTGCGGTGCCTGCACTTGCATTGCCTGCGCTGTCTGCGGCGGGGAGGCGGCCGTCAGCCCGCCGCCCTGCTGCAGCCACTCTGTCATGGTGGCGGCCTCCCTCGGGCTGACCTCGGCCTCGCAGGTCGCAGTGCTGGCGTCCTTGCAGACGAAGTCGTCCGGCACCGTCATCAGGGCCACGTCCACCACCTGCAACGCAAGCACACCGTCAGCTTGGAGGCTGGAAGCGCCTGCACGCTGCGGGGTAGGCCGTCCCGCAACACACTCCAGTGTAACGGGCCGGCCCTGAAGCGCCTGCACGCTGCGGGGTAGGCCGTCCCGCAACACACTCCAGTGTAACGGGCCGGCCCTGAAGCGCCTGCACGCTGCGGGGTAGGCCGTCCCGCAACACACTCCAGTGTAACGGGCCGGCCCTGAAGCGCCTGCACGCTGCGGGGTAGGCCGTCCCGCAACACACTCCAGTGTAACGGGCCGGCCCTGAAGCGCCTGCACGCTGCGGGGTAGGCCGTCCCGCAACACACTCCAGTGTAACGGGCCGGCCCTGAAGCGCCTGCACGCTGCGGGTTAGGCCGTCCCGCAACACACACCGGTGGAACGGGCTGGCATGCTCAGGCGCTCCCGAACCATAGCTATTGATGGCTGGGCGTTGGACCGCGGATCGTCTGCCCTTCAGGCCCGACCGACCATGCCGCTGGGATAACACACCAGCCCTTCATCCCTACCTGCGAGGTCATTGTGGCTTTGTCGTTGGCGTTGGTCGTCATGGTGCCCGCGTCCCTGGCGCTCGGCTCGTCGTGGTGCTCGGGGGCCGTCATAGTGGCCGCGTCGCACGCGATGCTGGTGGCCGCGTCCACCATGCCCCTCGCCGGCGCCGTCCTGCTGGGGGCCTCCACCTGGCTGGCCTGGGTGGCCTGGGTGGCCTGGGTGTTGACCCGGGGTGGCGTCGGTGGCCGAAAGCGACCGCCACTCCGCAGCGTGTACGCGCGCAGCAAGGTGCCGTTGGGGGGCGGCTCAGGCGCGGGCCCCGGCTCGGCGTCCAGGCTGTCGTCGGAGAAGGAGTCGTCCTGGAGCCGCCCCCACAATGTGACTCCGTGCTCCCAGGGCGGCACCAGGCCCAGACCCCAGAAGGGGTGCAGGAAGAAGGGGTGGGGGTGCTGGCAGGCCTTGTCCTCGCGCAGCACGGACTCCGTGCCGCTGCCCTTCTCCTTGACCCTCAGGACGCCGGGCGGCTCGGTCTGCACCTCCTGGTCGCGGCGCATCCGCCGGAGGTGCAGCGCCAGGGCGCGCTTGCTGATCTCCTGCAGCCTGGCGCGCGCGTTGGAGCACAGCTTGAGCTCCTTGGGCTCGTCCTCCGCCTCCTCCGAGGTGTCCGGCAGCGCGCCGCCCGCGGGGCCGTTGCCGCCCAGTGCCGCCAGGTCCGGCCGGCCAGCGCCCTGCCACGCGGCCCAGCCGGCCGACCCGGGCTCGGGCTTCTTCTTCTGCGTGTACAGGCGCTTGGTCACGGCCGCCACGATCTCGGCCTTGCGCGCCTCCTTGGTGGGCCTGTGCACGATGGTGACGCGGCCGGGGCCGTGCGAGAACGGCGCGGCCGGGCCGCCGACCGCGGGGGGCGTCGTCGGCGACGTGACGCCTCGCGTGCCGGCGGGGGCGGCGGCGGGGGTGGCGGCGGCCCGCGAAGGCAGAGCTGCGGGCGGCACCGCGCGGGGCTGCGTGGGCAGCACGACGGCCTTCTTGCCCGGCAGAGGGGGTGGGTCGCCGAAGGAGCGGCGCGAGACGGTGGAGCGGCGCGCAGACACCGAGTTGATGGAGTTGTCGGAGCCGGACAGGCTGCTCGTGCCCTGGGAACTCTGCGCGCCGCGCATCTCAAGCATAGAACCGCGCCGCCGCATGCTGGCCCTGCACACACCAACAGTCGTTTTCAACGCAAGACAAAGGGTGCTCGCTTCAGAAAAGGCCAGGGTTGGATGTCTGAAACAACAAGCAGCTCTGTGGTGCGAGGGTTCTGTAAAGAAGACCGTCCATGTGACTTCCAAAATCAATCAGATTCGTTTCCTGTGAGACCCTATTCGCTATTTCAGCTAACTGTGTATGCCCGGCTTCTAACCTAACCTAACCTAACGTAACCGTGCCTCAGGCACCGTGAGACTGGAAGCTCTCACCCCAAACACCGCCGAACTTCCTACCGCATCCGATCTAAGAGGGCCGACAGTCGACAGCTCATGTGGGTGTCGTGATGGGTGCCGTGTGCCCGTCTGTCGGCGAGTCGGCGCTCCCTGAGCACCTCCGTGCGCTCTGCATTCTGCCCATTCTGCCCATTCTGGCCGCCACCCCAGGCAAGCAGCCAGGCAAGCAGCCAGGCCGGGACACGCCAACATTTCAGCCTGTGACTGCGCCAATACACTGTTTATGTCCCAGCCACTCCATCCCATTGCCCCGCGCCTCGCCCCCCGTGGGGCGCTTGTTGTTGGAGTGGTTGACAGCTCGTTACACGTTAGCGGGGCATTCGTGAGGGGGTTCCCCGGGGCCGTGGCAGGGTGGCGGGGCGCCTGATGGGGCGAGGCGAGGCGAGGCAGGGGCGGCAGGCAGCCTCTCGCGTGCCCCCGCCTCATAACTGCGACTCATCGCCACAAGCGACCTTCGCTCCGCCACCACGCCGCGCCACGCCGCGCCACGCCGCGCTCGCAGCTCACACTCTATGGGTGCGAGGCGACGCCGAACCCTGCCGAGGCGAACTCCAGCCATAATACACCCGGTGTGTTGCGCCCCGCCCCGCCCCGCCCCGCCCGACTGCCGGGAAATATGCGCGCGGGTGGAGCGAGCGCGGTCCCAACGACGCTCGGCCGCCGCGTTCCCTTCCCTCGCCTCCCTCGTGAGGGGCCCGGCCCTCTATGCGGGCCGAGATGAGCCCCGCGACCCCTTGGAAGGGTTGAGGTTCGCGGCGCAGGCCCGCGCAGGCCCGGGCAGGCCCTCCCCTCCCGCGGAGAAGCCTCGGCGAGGCGCGAGGCGGGGAAGTCCACCATTACCGTGCAATGCTGTGGCCGATATGGCCGCCGTTGGCCGCCGACGCCGCGAGCAAAGGCAGCAACGCGCAGCGGGTGCCAGTCGAAGGCGTCACGTTCCGGGTGGCCTTCGCCTTGGGCTTCGGCTTGGTGCGCCACCACTGACCAGGGCCAACGCCGCGGCCAACGTGGTGCGACAACAACCCACCCCACCGCGCTGTCCCGCCGTGTCCTGCGGCCACGCCGAGACCCTCCCCGAAGTCCCCGGCCGGCCTTGGGAGTCACACCGTCACGCCGACGGCGGCGCGCTCGCGAGGTGTTCGGGGAGGGCCGCGGCCGGGCCGGGGTCGGGGGCTGGGCCGGGCTGGGCTGGGCCGGGCTGCAGCACGGTTCCACGACTCCCCTGATGTGTCTGTTCTCACCGCAGACAATCGATTTTATCGAGTGTAGCCTTGCCTGGCGCATCACGCTCAAAGGGGAGTTAAAGCCGCTTCCAGATTGTGAGGGTGGGACTTGGTGGGACTGCGGACGCGGAGGAAGGGGAAGGGGAGGGCAGAGTGGAAAGACCTCCCTCTCGGCATGAACGGTGTGACTGACCTAAATCACTCCAAGGCGGTGAGGCGCGGCGAGGCACGGTGAGAACGAGGCTGGCGCCCGCTGGCGCCACTGGCGAGCTGCCCGACAAGCTGCAGCTACGCAAGCCTTGCATAAGCAGGGGCAGTACGGCAGTACTCACTTCTTGAGCAGGCGGCTGAGGTACTCCAAGGGCGAGGACAGCTTGGGGCCGGTGAGGTTGCGGGTGGCGAAAGTACCTGCAACAGTTTTATCCATACAAGTATCGGTTGCAGGTGTTGCACTCACTCGCAAAATTTTACAAAGAGCTGGGAACGACTGGGCTAATGGGGTGGGTTACACTGAGTAGTTGCCCGCCCACACTCCCGCGCGGTGGAGTGGGATGGTAGGGGACTAACGGCATGCAGGTTTATACCTAAAATGGCTGCTCCTCACATGAATATCTCCATAGTCCAGGGTAACACCAATAGCTAAAGAAACTCAAATCATGCTCCCAATCGGTACTTTCAAGGCATTGTCGAAGTCGCGACGCCTGTCGGCCGAGCCACCACCGTTCTTTGTAGCAGCTCGCCCAGCCTGCCCATCCCGCCCCAGCCGCAGCCGCAGCCCCGAGTACCTCAGCCTCATCCCCTCCCGCCCGCTCGTCCCGGTACAGCGTGCGGTACAGCGTGGCGGTATCGTCGGCGCGCCACATGTCCTACTTCACACATTTCCAGCTCGAACGGAGCGAGTAGCGGCCAAGGCCCAGCGCCTCACGCCTCATGCCTCGCGCCTCGCGCCTCGCGGCCGTGTATCGGCTTGCCTGCGACAGTGCGGGACCGGGTAGGGGTAGCTGTAGAACTCTCGCACTGGCTTTGACGTTCAGGCTGCTCTGGGTCACGTCGACGTCGAAGCGTGAGGCGCTCGGGACAAGAGGAAGGGGGAGTTGCGTTTGTTTTGCCTGCCGACCGACACGAGACGGTGTTGCGGGTTGCCTTTCATCGAGGCGTCCAGGAAATCTGACGGGGAGGCGTGTTGCCGCTGCCATGTCGCGTTTGGCTATTGGGGGTGGGGCGTGGCGGTCCTTCAAGTCCTTACAGCGAGTGGAGGTCCACGGAAGTCGCTTGGGGCGATGTCAAACGCCATCCCCGTGCTGCTGCGTCCAGCGCGCGCTCACGCACCCCGCGCCCTGCAGCGCCCTGCAGCGGTCGTCGGGCCGGTCGGGGTGCGCGGACGACGGACGACGGCCAGCCCCGCGGGGCCGGGCAGAGGCGGCAACACGTGACGACAGCGGCGGCGGCGGTGGCCGGGCGGGCGGGCGGCGCTGCCTGTCGCGGGGGCGAGTCTAGCACTACTGCGGGTGGGGCACGGCGGCGGTCTCCAGGTGCTCCAGCCCGTTGGCGTGGACCGGGTGGGGGTGGGGGCGGCCAGGGGCGGCCACGCCGCGGAACCAGCGCGCCAACGCCAAACGCGCGCACCCTGCACACGAGTCGGAATCCAGAAACTCACGTGTTGACTGGCGCGCTGGCGCAGTCCGCTGCGGACGCTGGTGACGCGATGTGACCGATGCGGCGCGACCGACGCGTGGGCGACGTGGAGGTCAAGGACGCATCCGTGTCGCAAGCAATTGGTGGCCCGCGTCGCTGCATGCAGGAGAAAGGCCGAGATAAGCGAGGAGAAAGGCAAACAGACGACTGAAAGTTCGGTGTGGGCGGGACCGGCGGGGCGGGGCGGGGCGGGGCGGGGCGGGGCGGGCCGAGGCGAAGCGATCGCCGGGCCCTCTCAGAGCCGGCCACTCGATCCGACATCACACGGCCTGCTCGCCTCCAACCGACCGGACACTCCGGAGCCCCCTGCCCACCGCCATGAACTACGACGAGTACCCCGAGTTCCCGAGATGGGAGAAAAACTTGTAAGTGCCAAGCGGCCCGCCTCTGCGTCGCCTCTTTCTTATCTAGTGTGCCGCGGAGCCGGCGAGAGAAGGAGTGTAAATGAGAGGTGAACTTGAGTAGAGAACCTGCACGCCAAGAACGGTTCATGGTTTGCTCAGGTGGCCTATAGTGGCGACAAAGGATCCAGGGAGCTCCTGGGAAAACCAGGAACCATTTTTGCCGTGTGCCTCAGAGGCTCAGAAAATGCAACAATTACTTTTCAATTTCTGCTGTACACTTAGATGGAGTTCAGGTCGAGTTCAGGTTGCAATAAAATTATAGCAACAAAATTTTGGTGAACGTGAGCTTTTTTTTTTTCTTGTGGCGACGTGTTTGGCAGTCACACCAATTTAAGGGGGAGAGAGACAGAGCCCTCTGAGTGCGGCCGGCCTATGACGGACCCATGACGGACCACTTGACCGAGCCAATGCAGGCGAGACCTTTGGCGTGGTTGCCGTCCTCCTCTCTGTCGTTGTGCCTCGTCCCCATCGGTCCTATCGACGGAGCAGCGCTACAGTCAGTCACCTTGGTCTTGCACCTCGCCGGCCAAGGTCGCCAAGGTCGCCAAGGTCACGGAGCCGCTCCGCTGTCAACACGCGGGCGCGGCCATCGCGCCGCTCGCTCGCCGCATCTCACCAGGGCCGAGAGTTTTCGATATCTCGCGGGCAGCCGGGGGGAGCGGGGAGCGGGGAGCGGCGCGTGTGACCCGGCGGCGGTAGCGACAGCGGCGACTCCCGGACCGTCGCGAGATGGATGACGCGGTGACGCGACTTGTCACGTCACTGCCTCTCTCTCTCTCTCTCTCTCTCTCTCTCTCTCTCTCTCTCTCTCTCTCTCTCTCTCTCTCTCTCTCTCTCTCTCTCTCTCTCTCTCTCGCTCTCGCTCTCTCTCTCTCTCTCTCGCACTCGTGGGTGGGGCGCCTTGTGGGTGCGAGAGAGACTGCGAAGACGCTCCGTTCGTAATCAGCCCGCGGGGCGTCACGCGCTAATGTGCGGGCGTCGCGAGTCGCGGCGGCGGCGCGTCGGCGCGCTGGCCCGCTCGGCGTCGGATCGGCGTTGCAGTAGGTGGCAGGTAGCGCCCCAGAGTGCCCAGTGCAGTGCCAGCCGCCAGCCGCCGGCCCCGACGCAGTCATGTGGAGGTAGACTGACGCCCCGCGCCCCGGGCCCTGCCCCCCTGGGGCCCTGGTTGTCCCTGGTCCGTGGACGAGGAGGTAACTCTTTGTGTGTTCCAGCACCGCGAGGTCGGGCGAGGGTCTGACGATCCGCAACCTGTCGGTGCGCGACATGCGTTGGCCCACCTCCCTGGGGGCGCACGGCTCGGACGCCATGGTGAGTGAGAAGCACTAGGGCGTCGACTGCCCCGACGCACAGTGGGCCAAAAGACCGGTGGTCAAAATCTCGGACACGTTCTGAGCTCCAGAGTCGCTAAACGGAACTCGAACCGAGCGAGTGGCCCACCAATGGATTGCTCTCCGAACGAGGAATCCATTGGCGGGGTCACACGTTCGGTTCGAGTCCCATTTAGCGACTCTGAAGCTCAAAACGCGTCTAGAATTTTGGGCGTCTTCTTGCCCACTTTGCGACACGGCTCGACCCGAATGATAAGAGCCAGCTAACAGTGTCGCTCCTTGTCCCGCAGCACACGGACCCGGACTACTCCTGCGCCTACGTCGTCATCTACACCATGAACGACAACGAGGGCCACGGGCTGACCTTCACGTTGGGCAGAGGCACCGACATCGGTAAGGACCGGCTGCCGCCCGTCATGCGCCAGCCGCCACGAAGCACGGAATGGAGACGACTGCCGGGACCGAACGGACCGAACGCGGCGCCGCGCAGTGTTGCCATGAAAGAAGCAGGAGCCGAAACACGCAACAGACCGGTCTGTTTGGGCTTCTTCCTGGCACCACTGCTCGAAGGATGGTCTTCTGCTCGGGGGTTGCGCTCGGTCCCGCTGCCTGCGCTGGCGTAGGTGGGCGTAGGTGCTCGCGTAGGTGTCAACGACGACGCGCTCTGACAGGCTCTGACTCTCTGACCTTGCAGTGGTCCAGGCCGTGCACGCGCTGTCGCACCTCGTGGTCGGCCAGGACGCGGCCGACATCTTCAACGACTTCGGCGCCTTCTGGAGGAAGCTCACCAGTGAGACGCAGCTCAGATGGGTACGGCCGTGCTGCAGTGCGGCGTTGTTGCCGTGGGCTAGCCCTCGTCTAGCCGTTTCGTCACCCTGCCTCTGGCTCTCTCGCTCTCACCCGGACGACTCGCCGCGTGCGTGCGACAGAGACCGAGCGACGAAACGACGCCTGAGGACCCCAGGAGCCCAGCCGAGCCAGTGAGACTGAGTGTTGTCCTTGTCGCAGATCGGCCCCGAGAAGGGCGTCATGCACCTGGCCACGGCCGCCATCGTGAACGCGCTGTGGGACCTGTGGGCGCGCATCCAGCACAAGCCGCTGTGGAAACTCATCGCCGACATGGAGCCCGAGCAGCTCGTCCGCTGCATCGACTTCAGATACATGTAAGCTTGCAGCATGCTTGCAGGCGCCACCCGTCCCTACAGTGGCGAGTCCAGAGCCGGCCTGGGGAGGGGCACAAGTCCACATTATGTCTACTTACAAGGGGCCTAGGGGGTTCCGTCCTCCTGGATCCGTGTCTGTTCTTTCGAAATGCAAGGCTCTGATGATTTCCCCGCAGCACCGACGTCATCACCCCCGAGGAGGCCGTCAAGATCCTGAGGGAGCGGAAGCCTAACCGAGACAGGATGGAGCGCGAGGCCCTGACGCGAGGCTACCCGGCCTACACCACGCAGGTACACTACCCCGGTCCAATCCGAGTTCGGTCCGAGTTCGCTCCGAGCCTAGCATTCCGGTATGAGCCCTGCGTGTGCTGCAGGTGGGGTGGCTGGGCTACTCCAACGAGACCGTCACGCAGCTGTGCCACAAGTACCTGTCCGAGGGCTTCACCGCCTTCAAGCTCAAAGTGGGGCAGGACCTGCAGGACGACAAGAGGCGCTGCAAGCTGGTCAGGAGCATCATCGGCGACGACAAGATTTTGGTGAGCACACATAGCGAAGGGTAACGGGGATTCCGACTCTAAAACTCTCCCGAGTGTTCGTTTCTTCCTGCACCCTCAGATGGTGGATGCGAACCAGAACTGGGACGTCCAGGAAGCCATCGCCTGGATGAAGGAGCTCGCCGTCTTCAAGCCCCTGTGGATCGAGGAGCCCACGTCCCCGGACGACGTCCTGGGCCACCTCGCCGTTTCCAAGGCAAGCGTGCCGCGCGAGGCCCCGCGCCTCTCCGTCTGCCTCTGTGACTCTGTCTACCTCTGTCTGACTCTCGCGCTGCCGCAGGCCCTGGCACCCCTCGGCATCTCCGTGGCCACGGGGGAGATGTGCGCCAACCGCGTCATGTTCAAGCAGTTCCTGCAGTCGGGCGCCATGCAGTACTGCCAGATCGACTCGGCGCGCATCGGCGGCGTCAACGAGATCCTCGCCGTGTACCTGATGGCGTACAAGCTGGGCGGTGAGTCCCCGAGATTGACGCGCTGATCCGACTCGGATTCGGCGAGCCTCGGATGCCTCGGCTTCGCGCAGGATTACTCAGCACGTGCCGCAATCCGCGCTCGTGGTGTGTGTGTGTGTGTGAGAGAGAGAGTGCGCTACGTTGTACCGCCTTGTGCTTGCAGTGAAGGTGTGCCCGCACGCTGGCGGCGTCGGCCTGTGCGAGATGGTACAGCACCTGCAGCTCTTCGACTACATCTGCCTGTCCCAGACGAGCGAGGGCCGCTTCATCGAGTACGTCGACCAGCAGCACGAGCACTTCGTCAACCCCGTGCACGTCCGGAACAGCCACTACATGCCACCCAAGGTACGCCCCCGCCCCCTAGACCAGCGGTTCTCAACCTTTCTCGGCTCGCGACCCCAAATTTGTAGCCAAAAATTTCCGCGACCCCCAGGAAAAGTTTCGCGACCCCACGGGACCCCTCCTTTAGCATGCCACTGCGTCTGATCCGAGGCGGGCATTTTGCTCCCTCAACGGGCAATTGGTCTTTGGACCTTCCTTTAGCATGCCTCTGTTACGGAGTGCGATTATCAGTCTTAGTTTGGGAGCAGTATTGTCTCAAAGTTGGCCAAAACGCTCAGAAATGTCTTAAAAAATCATGTTTTGGGTCGATTTTAGGCAGCCACTGCGTCTGATCCGAGGCGGGCATTTTGCTCCCTCAACGGGCAATTGGTCTTTGGACCTTCCTTTAGCATGCCTCTGTTACGGAGTGCGATTATCAGTCTTAGTTTGGGAGCAGTATTGTCTCAAAGTTGGCCAAAACGCTCAGAAATGTCTTTAAAAAATCATGTTTTGGGTCGATTTTAAGCAGCCACTGCGTCTGATCCGAGGCGGGCATTTTGCTCCCTCAACGGGCAATTGTTCTTTGGACCTTCCTTTAGCATGCCTCTGTTACGGAATGCGATTATCAGTCTTAGTTTGGGAGCAGTATTGTCTCAAAGTTGACCAAAACAGGCACAACGATTTTTCAAAGACATTTCTGAGCGTTTCGGCCAACTTTGAGACAATACTGCTCCCAAACTAAGACTGATAATCACACTCCGTAACAAAGGCATGCTAAAAGAAGGTCAAAAGACCAATTGCCCGTTGAAGGAGGACGAAATACCGCCTCGGGTCAGACGCAGTGGCTGCTTAAAATAGGCCCAAAACACGATTTTTCAAAGACATTTCTGACCGTTTTGGTAAACTTTGAGACAATACTGCTCCCAAACTAAGACTGATAATCACACTCCGTAACAAAGGCATGCTAAAGGAAGGTTCAAAGACCAATTGCCGGTTGAGGGAGCAAAATGCCCGCCTCGGATCAGACGCAGTGGCTGCTTAAAATCGGCCCAAAACACGACCCCAGCTACCTCGCCGCGACCCCTTAAAATTTTTTCGCGACCCCACTTGGGGTCGCGACCCTAAGGTTGAGAACCACTGCCCTAGACACGCTAAAATAGTAGAAGAAATTGCAGTTATAAATGTGTCGGGTACTGTGACTGGACATAATTCCTCCCTCTGTTTGCCTCTCATTGTCGGTGCCCTGACTGCACAGGCCCCGGGCTACAGCACGGAGCTGCGGCGCGAGGCGGCCGAGGGCTACGAGTGGCCGGTTGGCTCGGAGTGGCAGAAGCTCTTCGCCAGCGGCAAGTTCCAGGACCCCAAGCACGTGCCCACCCTGCCGCCCACCAAGCACTAGTCTAGTCTCGACTCCAGCCGTCACTGCCATCCCCAACTGTCTCTCCACATGTCTGTGCAACACACTTGTCATCGATGAAATACACCGTGCGATTTTATTCTTTTTAATCGGTTAATTTATTATTACCTTACACCTGGAAAATCAATAAATAATGACAAATTGGTCCGAAACGTCACAGACATCCACGCAATTTGATAAATAAGTAGCTAGGAATAAATAAGGCCTCTCGGCTTGAGTCAGTCAAAGTGGATGGGGACGGGCCCCACATGCCAGCGGCCAGGTTCAGTTACCGCTGCCCTGCAGGAACTTGCGCACGGCCTTGTTGACGGCCTCGGGGTCGTCCAGGTGCGCGAAGTGGTTGGCGTCGCGGACGATGACGACGCGCACGTTGGGGAACTTCTTGCGCGTGCGGAAGGCGGTGGAGTGCTCCACGTAGGCGTCGCGGCCGCCGAGCAGCACCAGCACGTCGGGGAGGGCCGAGGAGACGGCCTCCGCGGTCGGGCGAGCCGGCCTGCCGATCGGAAAACAGTCAGACGGCGAGCGCACATTCGCCAGTTCCACGCTGTTCCAGTATTCAGTGTGTTTCAGTTTACAGTTTCGATTCGGAAGAGCGTGCTTACATTGATCGTTCCGGCTCTGCTCTCTCATCCGTCGCCGCGTCGGCCTTGGTCGCGTTCGTTTCCTCGGCGGCGTCCTCATGGCTGTTGTCCGCGCTTGTGTCCTCCGTGGCGTCCGTGGCGTCCTCGCTGTGGTCCTCGCTGGTGGTCGCGCTGATGTCCGCGCTGGTGTCCTGGCCGGCGTCCTCGACGGTGGAGGCAGGAGCAGCTCTGCGCCGCCACCGCCGGGGCAGCCCCCACCCTGCCGCGCGGTAGTAGTTGAGCGGGGCGGTGAGCGCGCCTGCAACAGCAGCACCACGACTTCAAGCCCCAGCCCAGGACTCGCTCCAGGCAGGGCACCGAGAGGCTAGGCACGGATACGTACCGGGCTGGCCGAAGGCGTACTTGTAGGCCTCGAGGTCCTGGTCCGTGACGGCCGGCGGGTCGCGGCGTCCTCGGCGCAGGGCGGCCGACAGGCAGGCCAAGTCGTCGCTCTGCAGCACCAGCTCCGCCAGGAACGGCACTTGGAACAAGAAGAAGTACCTGCGCAAAGCGGCGTTGCACTTTCTGCTCTGAGGTCCGCGTCGACTGCCGACTGCCGACTCACCATGACCGCATCAACTGCTTCCTGTCGAACACGAGGGCCTGCTGGAAGACGTAGGGGTGCGGCGCCCCGATGCTGACCATCTTGTCCACCTTCTCCGGGAAGCGCTCCGCGAACATCCAAGCCACCGCGGCGCCCCAGCCGTGGCCGACGAGCGTGGCGCGCGGCCGCTCTGAAAACACAAAGGAGGCCATCGTCGTGCGTTACAGCTCCCTGTTCGAACGCCCCACGCGAAGCACGCCGTCGAGTACCTACCGAAGGCTTCCAGGAGCTCCTTGACGTCGTCAACCAGGGCGTCCGCCCGGTAGGCCGAGGATCCCGACGGCTTGTCGGAGTCCCCGTAGCCACGCATGTCGAGCGCCACGACCCTGCAAACGGACGCCAGCGTTTCAGCGTTGTTTGAGGCCGCGGAAAATGGGAAACTGAGGCGGGCAATGGGCGGCGCACTCACCAGTAGTCTTGGGAAAAGGCCTGCATCTGGTGCTTCCACGAGAACCAGAACTCGGGGAAGCCATGCAGGAGCAGCATGAGGGGGCGGCTCGAGTCGCCAGTGTGGACGTAGTGCAGCTTGATGCCCTGTGGACCCAAAGGAGTCGCTCAGTCGCATCGCGTTTCAGAGCTCTCTGCGAGGGTCCGCAATGGTCCGCCCTGCTCGTCTGCGAGGAGGCGAGAGGGGAAGAAGCGCAGTGTCACTGCCCAAAGTACCTCGCCGGGGATCGAGGCTAACGCTAACGCACCGCTCACGGTAAAGGCGCCAAAGGCAAGCAGGAGAAAGGGCGCTGCTTCCGAGCTCCGAGTCTCCGAGCAGCGCGACGCCCAGCAGAATGCCGAGTCAGTGTGTTGGCAGGCCCTGCCGGGCCCTGCCTCTGCCCTGCCTCCTGGTGGAAAGGGTGCCAGTGCTTCTCTGTCGGCTAAAGTAGGCTGTGGCTACAAAGGTCTGCACAGAAAGTGACAAACCACGACCACCTACGACTTTTACAGACTGAAGAAACACACCATAGCCCAACAAAAGAGTTCCGATACCGGGAATCGAACCCGAGCCTCCTGGGTGAGAGCCAGGTATCCTAGCCACTAGACCATATCGGATGCCTGAGAACGGGGAGCGCAGGGAACGGAACAGCATGGTCGACGTGGTGTTGACGAGGAGGGAGGCGAGCACAAGGCCGCGCCTGCGCAGTGGGCGTCAAAGCGCTGCCTTGCGGTCGCGCGCGGAAGTCTGACAGCCTGGCCGCTTCCGCTTTCGCGCGCGCGACGCTTTCAATTTGAAACGGGGCCAGCCAGGCTGCGCGGCTGCGCCAGGCGCCTTGGTCTTATCTACCTTGGACAGGGTGACGTAGGCGTGCTGGCCGAGCGCGGCGTCCTGCAGCACTGGCGGAGGCTGGGTGCGTGGCTTGGGCCTCCAGAAGCCGCCGAAGGGGTTCCACGCGACGCGCACCAGCAGCACCAGGCTGAAGTAGAGGGCCAGGGGCGCGCTGAGCAGCCAGACGGCGGCCACCGTCGCCACCCTCAGCAACAGGCGGCGCCACGACAACCTGTACCAGGCCATGATCGTCCTGTCCGAGCCGCGCTCCGCGTCGCACTGCGGCGCACTGCCACGGCCCTCGGCTGTCCGCGGGGCGCAACGGCACCTACTTGCCACCTCCACGGCCTCCTTCGCCTCGGGGCAGCTTCCCGCCCCTCCCCGGACTCCCCAGCGGGCCGGCGGTGCGCCACAGGCCACAGGTGCCGCGGGCAGGACATCGGAAGTCGCCAAGAGGACCATGACAATGCAGTCCGTGCAGCCGGCAGTCGGTGCAGCTCGGCCGTGTAGGCCAACAACGGTCCAACGGTCCAACGGAACGGTCCATGCTGCAAGCATGCTCCACGTCGGCGGCAGTTTCTCCCAGTAGATTGGGTCACGGCAAGCGCGGCGCGCGGCCAAGCCGGCCGAGCCGCCGCTACGACGCCCTCATCGAGGACCCCGCGGACCGTGGCGTCCCGTCGCGCGTTCCACCATCTCCGCGGGAGGGCCGCGCTGTGTCGCGGTCGACATGGTCGACATGGTCGAGATGGGCCGTCCGCACGTGCGTGACTTTGTCGTCGCATGGCGAAGCGTGGCGTAGAGGAGAGGAGCACAATGCGACAGACAATGCCGTGGCCGAGTGGCCGTCGCCCCACAAATCAACTTTCGGGACAAACGAGCGGCAGGCAGGCAGGCAGGCAGGCAGGCAGGCAGGCAGGCAGCAGTGCTTCTCCGTCTCATGGGGTGTCCAATGTAAGGTCATATGGAAGATAGGTCTTAGACAGGTCTTAGATAGGAGGGATTAGCTGCCCGGTCTCCCAGCATGCATCTCGGTTGCGCAGACCTATCTTCCATATGACCTTAGTCCAACGGGGGCGCTAGATTCCATGGCAAAGTATTCACTTCAGCCGGGGAAGTGCCAAGCGCCAGCGCGCAGAATCCCGCATCATTCTCTCTTGGCCCATCGACGGCGCACCGTCGCACCCAGCAACACTGTCAAAATGCCAAGTGTTCTTTTTATTCGTATTTCGTATATGGTAGGACTAGGCGTGGAATGGTGTAAATGTCCTCCGCTCAACGTGTTCCTGGAGTCGGTTTCAGGAACGTAGTGCGAGTAAGATTCTCGAATCGTCCACCAGATGGCGTTTCCCGAGGAATGAAAGGTAGGGGGAAAGGCGGGGGGAAAGGGGCGGGCGTGCGGTGTTGTTGGTTCGCGGTTCGCGTTTGTACCAAAGGCGCTGCTTACAAATGTAAATATGGAAATGTGAGGGACGGAACTTACACTAGAGTGTAGATCAGATCGGATGAAAGCTATCAAAAGTAGCCATGCCTTGTGCCCGTCCAATTAATCTGGGATGAATCGGCGTCCTTTTCCTGTTTATTTCTACTGCGTGCATATGCTCGCTGCATGTTTTTCAAGGCGATTTTAAACATTGATGGTGAGCCACTTTCATGTGTTCGAAAAGTTTGATACTAAACTCAGTTTAGTTCTTTGTTTTTGTTCAGTACTTCTACCGACGCATTTGCCAGAACTCCATTACTTTGATAATGTCTGATAGGTAGTCTGTGATAAATGCTCTTAAAAATTTCCTCTTATCACAAGGTTAGGTTCTGCTTCTGTTACAAATATCTTTCCCTTAACAGCTGTGTGTATGTCTTTCAAACTAAAGTAATCTCTTTTGCTTTTTTATTTTATTTTAGATTCACCATGGAGGACTACAAATTTCTTTTCAAAGTTGTCCTAGTTGGGAATTCCGGTGTAGGAAAGACCTGCCTAGTGAGGCGGTTTACCCAGGTCTCTGTTTTTCCCAACTATTTGTTGCTCTTTTGATAGGAATTTGTTTCTTAATCCTTCATCTTGGGTGATTGCAGGGCCTTTTTCCTCCTGGTCAAGGAGCTACAATTGGGGTGGATTTCATGATAAAAACAGTTGAAATTGATGGCGAAAAAGTGAAGGTATTTATTCTTCAACAAGGTATAGTATTGAAAGCGTTTCTAATTTTTAACTTCATGTTTCCTACATCTGACTTCATTTACAGTTGCAAATATGGGACACTGCTGGTCAAGAGCGATTCCGATCTATTACACAGAGCTATTACCGCTCGGCTCATGCATTAATTTTAGTGTATGACATAAGCTGTCAACCAACATTTGACTGCCTCCCTGATTGGCTCAGAGAAATTGAAGAATATGCAAGCAATAAGGTGCTAAGGATACTTGTTGGTGAGTTGTCTCACTTTTGTTTTTAAGCACACGTAATGATCCAACAAAATATTTACTTCAAACATTTGTTTACTTTCAGGTAACAAAATGGATAGAGAAGATCGAGAAATTCCAATTCATGTAGGGGAAGGTTTTGCCCAGAGACATGATATGTACTTTTTAGAAACTTCTGCTAAAGAAGCTGAAAATGTTGAAAAGCTATTCATGGAAATAGCTGCAGAACTCATGGAAGTAAGTTCTTCTATTTTACCTCACTGTTTTGTAGCTTGGAATTTTAATTTTATTTATTTGTTTGATTTCAGCAAGCAAGAAGTAAGGAGCTTCCTCGATATGATACTATTTCACCCACTATTAATGGTAGAACTACATCAATTGGGGACAACAGTTGCTGTAGCAAGATTTCATAAATGTTGGTTTAAGTTAGTTTTTATTTGCACCAGACATCCTTATCTGTTAGGAAATTATTGTTATTGATGCAAATAGCTCATTAACTCATCAAGTCTGAATTTCTTCATCTGTAATTTTACCACATTTTTAATTTTTAATTTTTGTTGTAACATGTCCACATGAATGGATGCATTTGGGGCGTGACAAGGTTTTTAACCTGATTCTTTGTTGTCTTTGGGAGAAACCATCCTGGAAGGTGCTTGTGCTTAGGTTTTGGGGTCAGAAATGTACCTTTTTAGAAACTACCAACGCTAATTTAAAATTTTGACTCAGTTGGTGCACAATGCTGTCTTATTTTTTAATTAATTTTAACTCTGGCTGAATGCACCTTCACACATAGCTTGTTCATGTTGCTTTCAAAGTAACAAAGAGGCAAGAAACGAAATTGGTTCTTTTCATTTCTTAATAACTTTTTGACATTTTAAAATAAATACTCAACTAATTGTGATGCTTTTAAAAAGGCAAGGCAATTACCACACTTGAATGTGTAAGGTCTTTGTGATAAGATACTCCTAAAGTATGATATGAATTTAGTGGTAGATGCTTGCTGTTGATTCAGATGGGATCTGGACATTTTCTTTAAAACAGATTTATAAGTAACTGTACTGAAAATTTCATATGCGCCTCTAAAATCCCAGTACTTATACTTTATTAAGTGTTGTAAGTACTGTGTTATTGCAGTGCTTCTGCTGTCCCCTGTTGTTTTTCCATTCTGAGGAAGCTGTATCCTTTTAAATTCTTTGTATTCTCATGTGATATGTATGCTGTGTAAGATACCTAAGACTTGGGTGATTTTGGATCTAAGAAGTCATTCAGCACCAGTTTCATGACATTTAGAACTTTTGAATCCCTACTGACGGGCTTCTCAGGTAGTGTTTTCAAAACCACCCTAGCTTTGGGCAAATCACAATTTGCATAAAGTGACATTTTATTTTTATCGGTGTAGACTGAAGCATGACATAAAGTTTGAACGGTCTTTGGGGGTTTCAGATTCAATCCTATCAAGAAATAGAACAAAGGCTGAACTGTAGTTGATACTTTTCACTGCATGGTCACAACAGTATTTAAGTTTTTTCAGTCGCAACAACACCACAGTCTTTAGAAAAATGGACGGCATCCTTCAGAAAGGATGGATCCTAAGAATATTTGATCCGTAGCACGGATGCTCCTATTTTTTCATCTTCCTCAGAATAAGATTGATGCTTCTTTCATCTGTGATGTGTTTTTGCATTCCATATTCTTTTTCCAGTTATCCTGGCTATCAAGATTATATTACCTTTTCATTTTGCATCTCCATGTTACTTTGTTTTCCCTTCCAAAAACTTTTGTTAAACTTTGATGATTCTGTTTAAGTATTAATTTGTTATTTGATTTTGTGACAACTGTCATGGTTTTTGTAATACATGTAGCTTGTCAGCTTGTTATGTAAATAATTTATTCATGTTTCAAAATTTAAATAGGTGCAAAATTGTTTTTTTTCTTCTTGTTGCTGCATTGCTTGGATTTACAATTTAATTTATTGCACACGTTTTATTTGCTGTCTACCCTTCCATTTTTGCACGCATATTCAACAGTGATCATAAAAAGATAAAGTATTATAAAAAACGATGAATACTAGAAGAAAACATTTCTTGCTTCCCACTAATTATTTCCATTATTATTATTCCAGACCAAATAAGTTGTTTGTTCCATCAGCCTCAAAGGTGCAATTGGTTCCTGCCTTTGAAGGAGCACAAGTCACTTGATGTGACTTAAATTTTACAATTGAAACTAAGTCTCAGGTACAAACATACATGAAGATTGAAAAATCCTCAAACATGAGAATGAGCATGAAATACTGCATGTGTCAACAAACATTCTTGATTTGTTTTTTCTTCTTTTTGGGAAGAAGAGAACCAGGTGGCTTGAAAACGGTACTGCAATGGAGAGAAAATTTATGTTTATAACCACATTGCATCTTGCCAGATTGCTTCAAAACAAATTTTTTCAATGAACAAAAATACTGGGTGCAAAACTTACTTGCATGTTGTGCAGATAGGACTGAATTTGCAGAAGACTGAAAAAAGATAAATTAAGTAATCAACAAAAGTCCATTTCAATGCTCCAAAATAAATGAAAAATTACATTGATTCAATACTAATATCATACGTACTAGATAAACAAATAGAGCAGACAAAACCAATATCTATGAGAGTTCTATGACAAAAGCAGGCAGCTCTGTAATCAACCCTTGCTGGAGGAGGTAGAACTAATTTCTTGCGTATTGGAGGCTCTGGTAAGAAAACCCACTGTAACAAAATCCCAGCATACATGCAGTTTATACAATGAATAAATTGTAAACATTAGTTTAAAGTTACAAAATATACTCACCAGCAAATACTGTAACAGGCCCTGGAGTTGAGGGATTTTGAGAAAAAGTCCACCAGTAATGTCACAACCTTGCTGAAGGAGCCCCAATTCATATTCCAAACTACATACATCCATTACAATATTCTGCAAAAGGAGAATAATAAGCGACCTAGTAATTTTTTTTAAAGAGTGGGTAAGTTTATTCCAGGTACCAGAGAGGTGCAGTGCTGTGCAGTGCACTAGAAGCGCCTATAGAGCACTGCTAAAAAACTGCTGAAAATAACCCCTAATTTCAGCATTTTTGATGTGCCTCTGTGACAGGAGCCAATTTGGAGCGCATCAGAGGCAAAGGAATTTTTATACTGTTCTGAAAATTGCTCCCAAAAGCTTCTGCATAACCAGTCCGTTTCCTGGATCACTCAATGAAGATAGAACGTACTTGTTTCTGAGCCGTGAAGAACACATTCATGTACGCCATGTGCTGTGAAGCTCCGCCTGCACATCCAGTCAGAATCAAAAGCCTTGAATTCAAGTTTTCTCCAGCAGATTTTTCTTTATTTATCCTACATGAAGAGAAAAGAGTGACATTAATGAGTATTTATGAACAGGGTGGATTCCTATGATTTCTATTTCAATTTAACACAGGTCCCTGATGGTGGCACTTTACCTGTTTATATAACAAAGAGCCAATGTTAAAGCTCCTGCAATGAGTGACTCACAATCTTTATCTTCAAAGAAAGTGGACTGCTCATCTTGCATGAAATCTTTGATGTTCTGTTTTACAGTAGTTTCCAAATGAGCAAATATCTCATATTGACCATCTGATTGTCGAACTGCAGTCGATTGCCCAGATTGTCCTGGCTGAGGCTGTATGGCATCGGCATCACAGAAAAGAAATTCACTGAAAAGAAACAATACCATCACAAATGAGCTAAATACATCATACTCAGAAGGGCCAAAATAAATTGTACATGGTATTAGAATGAGTGCCAACATATGAACCAAGCACTTAACACAAATCAAATTTTACTCACCTATTAGAAGCATTGCAGCCAACAATAGCAACCTTATTTTTGGTCTTCAACATGAGATGCATGTTAGCAAGGGTTATCACAGAGTCGAGAACATGCATCAATAGCGAAGGCTGGTCCCGTAAATACCTCTGACGAGTGTGAAGGTCCACTACTATCACCAGAAGGCTTGTCTCCACCTCTGAAAAATAAGTGTCTCGGGATGAAAAGAACAAGAACCATTGTCACATTGCTTTGACACTGTCAAAACGATTCATAACCTATCTCGATGTTTGGACCGGAGCCATGACAGTGAATGTCAATGAGATGCACATACTTTTGTTTGCGAAAAAAATTATTCTAAGTTGCTTACGGTAATGTAGATACAAGAATTATGAGTAACCATTTTTTAAATCGAATAATTATTGTAGGCACACTTACCATCAGCCATGGCAGCCATGTTTTCAAAACAAACAACAGCACCACACCCAACAACAACAACAAAGATATGAGAAACTTGCACTGTTTGTATGTATGTACGGTTTCTTTCTCATACTATGTTTTTCCCGCCGTTTCGTTTCCCAGGCTTCCACGTTTGTTTACCGTAACTGGTTAAGATTTAACCTGAAGGGCAGAGGTTCAACTTTTGACGTTTTGTAGTGGTCTCCCTTTTGAGTTTATTTGCTCAACTTCTTCTTATAAACGTGGGGCACCATGACGAAGCCACTGTAAGTATTGTTCCACCGACAGACCAACAAGGAAGGAGTTAGTTAACTGAGGCAATTTGACTTTTCTCCTGTAATTAGCTAATAATTTATCTCGTATCTGTTCCAGGGGCAGGGTAAGCTTGTTTCCATTTCTACCGACTTACTAACGGGAAAGTTCTACGTAGCATTTACTGTTTCTCGTCTTAATACCTTGTGAAAGTTATTTGAACTGGTATATGTCATTTATTTCTAGACCTGTTTCTTGGTCTATTTCAGAAGTCCAGCGTGTCTCAAGGGAGAAAGAAACCAAACCAAAAAACACCCATCAAGCAGACTGGTCAGAAAAATGTGTCGCCGTCAAAACCCAATCGAAGTTCTGTTAACAAAGATTCCACCATGGATGTGTCCCGAAGAACACGACGCTTTAAATCGGGAACCAAAGCTTTAAGGGAGATAAAAGCTCTTCAGCGTACCACTCATCTTTTGATTCCAAAAGCCCCTTTTTGTAGAGTTGTCAAAGAAATTGTTCATCAGTTTTCATATGAAAATCTAAGGTATGTCTCCTTTTTTGTTGTTCCATCCTTTTCAGGTTTGCTTGATGTTTCATGGCCATCATATTCTTTTCCAGAATTCAAAGCTCAGCTCTTGCTGCTCTTCAAGAGGCTGCTGAGATGTACATGGTACAGTTTTTTGAAGACTCGTTGTTGTGTACTCTACATGCTAAGCGTGTTACTCTTAATATTCAAGACTGTCATCTCATGAGACGTTTACGTGGACCTGCAGAAGTTGCTAATAAGTAAGGCGTCTGCCAAACTGCTGTCTTTGACTTTATTTTAGCAGAGTGTGTATTCAATAGTTTGTACATGATTTTATATATGAATATATACTCACATATATATGGTTACATGATGTGTTTTCATGAATGGTGCAACTTGAGCAATTATGGGCTCTATTTTTGTTTAACTTGCTTTATCTCTTAATTCAGTGTTGGAATTAACTTGACCTATTTTAAATTAAAATGGAACATTTTTGAAATGAAAATTATGCTTGAACTCTTGACAGCCTTAACCACCTGAAGCCATTCTATTGTGACATGTGTTAGGACATTTTTGAAAGAATAGATAGTTCAACTTGCTAGGCATGTTTATTTCGATTACAGAATTGACAAGTTGAATACCGTCACTAACCATCAACCATAACAGTAATAATTAGATTCCAAACTGAAATTGTGGTCCAATGTATGACCACAGAATAATTTGAACAGCTTCAATTTCACTTGTGTAGGAAACTGGAGCCATACTTGCAAGAGATACTGGTAACTGAGAAATAATGTAAAAAGTAGTGATTGTTTTTTAAAATACATGACTGAGCAGCTTTCTTTGAATGGAACCATGTCAAATAGTTTAATTACGTGTTTTTAACCTTTACCATCTGAATAAGGATTGTCTTAGCAAAGAGGAAAACATCCATATAGGGTAATTTTAAGTTTAACTCATTCATTCAGGATAATATGTTGAAACTTTTATCTCAAGCCTTGTGCAAGTACACCCAACACCACTGAGTTGCGGCTCTTTAAAGGGAAGACAAAGATGCTGTGCGCTAGAAGTACTGTTGAATGCATCTTGTTGTAAAATGAGATTTCAGATAGATCAAACCGAAGTGTTTAAGCATTCATGTGTACATTCTGATATGTTATATACTAAAGAGTAATAAAGAAAATCATCTTTTCAAGAACACAAATTAGCTAAAGGGCTTTAAAATTGAACTTCTTTTCATTTGGTTACTTGTTGGGGCAAACAAATTCACATGACTTCGAACTTTCTTGGGCTAAAAATTTGGTGGCCAAAACATACACATGCAGCACTATAAGAAGTCAAATGAAATGCTACCAGTAAGTTGGAGCAACCAAATGTCTCTGAAACAAGGAACATTTCTCTTAAGACTAGAGATTTTAATATTATTTCTTGCAGACAACAGCACTTCAACTTCCTTAGTTTGCTGATTTCATAAGACCACACTTTGTGTGTGATGTGTTATTGTATATCACAGTATGAAAATGCAGAGCATTAATTTTGTTGAACAACAACAAACCTAGTGAAAACACTAACACTAAGCTAACAGCGGGCTACACTCTCAGAAGTGTGATACAAAATAACATGAGACCCATTCACTGCACAGTTCCTCAATGGATGTCATTGGTTCATGGACTACATTCTTGCAAAGCTGGACATCCTACACAAAACATGAAGAAATAAATCCAAAGCTCATGCGTTAATAGAAATTATCAACATCATATTGCTTAAACTTCATCAGTCCGTGATTATTAGTAAACAGTGCTCGCTGTATTTTTTGTCATGTTTGTGTGAAGGAATATTTGACTTTTTCTTAAAAGGTCTATTACTTAACACAGGAAGCAAACTGTTTCGTAGTGTGAAGCCAAAAGTCAAATGGTGAAGCAAAGAAGGAAATAAAAAATAAAACAAAATGTACCTGTAAATTAATTTTAAAGTCTGGATTTAATATGGCATTTTGAAAGTTGGAAGTTCTGAAGAGCTGAGATTTCCAAATGTTTACAAGCACTTCTAGGTTCACAAGACACAAATAATGCGTTCTTAGAGTTCTGAAATGTCTAGCTTTTGTAAATATTGCCTGTAAGTAACAAATGAAAGATGAAATCAGAAGTAACCAGATAAAAGTGGCAGTTCCCCATTTCAATTTTAAAACCAACTAAAGTCCTTTCTTTTTTTAAGAAGAGGGGGCGACGGGAGATTTTTTTGTTTGCGTGTGTTGTTTGAAAATTACTACTAGTCCACTGTAGCTGATAAACAAAATCGAACATACCCATGAATGGATACACAGGTTGCTCACTATTAATAAATACGACTGAATTAGAACAAGACATCTTAGAACTCTATTGCAATGAAGTCACTTTCCCCAGAAAATGAAAAAAAGCTTATGCCCTGGCACTCAAATACATAAAATGAATGTAGTACATTCACTCGCCTTCTGCATTCATTAGATTACTTATCACAAACATGCTCTCTTACTCAAGCATACAATTGTAAATGAACACAATAGACATACATAGGTTTATCTTACTTATTATTAAAACAATCAATATATAAATATCTATATATTTATATATAGACAATTATGTTATAGGCTGACACAGGAAATACTTAAAATGAATATAAACAAGAGAAAGTATATCTGAATAAAAGAGTTGCTATAACATTCAAACCTCTCCTTCACAAACACAAAAATATACAGATGTTCAACAATCATTACATTCCTTTCCAAAAATTTTGCTATGTTAAAACACATTAACTAGACATCCTCACCAATTTGCATACTTCCTTATTAATTACTCAAATTCATATCAGAGATCAAATTCATTCTACTTTCCCTTGTAAAAACACATTGCAAGTGAATAGTAAAACAGCTATACTTCCAGCTTCAACCCTTCTCTTGTAAATGAGACATGTGACCGGAGTCTTACATGGGAGTGAGAATGGAATATCTTCAGTCTAGAGCAACAAAGTGATTTGCCTGGAATCACAAAAACTATTAAGGGACCATTAAAAACCCTCAGTTGACAAAGAATCAAATACATTGCAAGATTTACAATTCATTCTAATTCATTGAATGGAACAGCGCCGAACAGCGCCAACCAGCAAAAACTCCAGTGAAGTTAGAGAATTCAAGTCAAATCACATTGAGCACAGCACTACTATAGTTAAATTCGTTATCAGTGAATTGTAATTTTAAAAACACATTATTCCAGAGAAAAACTGTTGTTTTTGCAAAAGTGCATTTAAAATGTGAAAGTAGGGTACCCAAATGCATCTAAGAGGAGCCTCACCGGGAACAACAGCACCAAATTACGGTCACAGTTTAAAGTAGAGTAAAAGATCCGATATGCTCTTCTGTCTCACTTTACACTATATAGGACAAAAGGTTGAGAGAAGCTTGAAATCTTCATACTGATCGGCATATCTGGAAGTTAATTGCAAATGGTACTGACCACAAATGGAAATGAGCAACAACTCCAAGTTCCAACATGCCAGCATGTAAATGAATTGAAGTTGGCACAAAAACAAAAATTGAGCTTTGCATTATCATTTGCTCCAAGGATTCGCTCAATGCAGTACATTGATTTATTTGGGATGCACCATACTAGTTTTAAACAGAAAAATTAGATAGACAAAGTTCAGTCACTCTCCCTTGAATCATTTCAGTTTTTTTTTTGCCTAGTTAACCTCAATACAATCAGATTCAATTCACAATTCTAATTAGCACCAAATTTTACATTATATATTTTCAAAGAGGTTGTAACATTGTACAGCTACAGCATTCCAGTTTGCGGTGACTTATCACCCTTCCAACAGTTTTAACACCACCTGAAATTTTCTGATCAAAATCAAAACAGGTACATCCCTTAGCTTGCTCCTATTATAAGATCAAGTATAAGCCATTTCGGATGTAGGACAGAATGGAACTGTCCACTAACATATTATCACATCATTATACATTCTGCTACTTCAATTTAACACGTGTGCACACACAGTCTCACCGTTCCTTTTGTATTGATGATCTATACTTAATAATGTGCAACCTGAAAACGTAAGACAATAGCACAAAATTCATAGGAATTTATAAAGGCAGAGGGACAAAGCTTCAGATTTGGCAGGATTTATAATGCAATCAGTGCTGAGATAAAAGCTCTCAAAACCCTGGAATTGTGATATTTTATCATTAATTCATGCAATGATCACTATGTCTTAGCATATTCACTGAAATAAAACAAATAAGCAAACAAACAAAACAGTTTCCTAAAAAAAGGGCAGGGAGGGAGAAAATAAGGACGACCCATTACTAAGTATGATTGTTTGGTCATTAAGATCTTAATGAGCTTACCTCTAAAACATATTGCACCTGCACTTTGTACCAATATTCATGTTTGTATGAATTGGGATGACTGAAACATTTTTTAATGGTACAAAAAGCATTTGAAATGGTTACATTAGTTTTCATTTGAATAGGTAACTTACAAAATCATGAGTTTAATGGTCAGCATTAGCATCTGACATTAAATACAATTACTTGAGATTTCATTATAGTTGAAATGACAGAACTGCTACAACAATTCATAACGACTTTTCCTATCGTCTGTGTGTGCAGACAGTTCCTCTAAATTTCCAGAAATTTGCCTTAACAATGTGCATTATTTTGCACCCCCACAATTGTACATAAACATTCTCACAAGCACACCAATTCATTACATTAAACCATGCCTTTTCAACACAAATCGAAAGGTCACTTGTCAGAACACAAAGCTAAAAATGTCCTTCTCATGTATGGGTGTGACCTCAAAGAAAAGAATACAACACAGCAGATGCTTGAATTGGTGAGGGATAAATGCTATTCCTTGCCTGGTCTCCAATTCTTCAGTTGCCTTTTCGGATTCCATGGATTCACTCACATCTTATGCTCAGGGAATCTAACCACAATCTACAATTAATTTCAAGACTTCAATGGTGATTCTCTGATCACATCTTTGGTCCTAAAAGACAGAGAAAGGTAGGAGCAGATTTTGTTTCGAGAACAGTTATTCAATATTCTAGCTATTTTAAAAGGAAAACACAGAACGCACACATCGTGGACGGCTTGAAAGTGGTTCGACTCCCCGACCCGACCTTCACTTTCCATTGAGCAATGCCTGGCTGCTGGAGCACGCACACAACGACACTCGCACACACACACATACACACACGTACAAACAGCGTGACGCGCTCGCGACACCCACACGGTCTATCACAGTCGAGACAACTGTGCAGTACTGCAGTACGGAGGCCAAGAGGCCAGGTCAAACTGGCGGCCTGGGCAAAGGCCTGGCTAACAGTTCCTGCCCGGACCTCGTCCTCGTCCGCGCCTCGTCCGCTGGCGCTTCCCCAAGCCCGAGACACAGGCTGGGGCTAGGGCTAGGGCTGGGCTCGGTCCGGGCCGCGGTCGCCGACGTGCAGGTGGCCCGCTCGGTCCGCGACTCGGTTAAGCACGGCACCATGGTGAGGCTGGCGAGGTGGCTGCGCGGCGCCCCTGGCCCCCCTGGCCCCCCTGGCCCCCCGGGCACGCCGAATTGACACTCACGAGGTCCACACCGTGTACACCGTCCACACCGGCACAGGGCGCACTAGCACTGGGGGCGGCACTGTGTGCTGTCCGACACACCGAGGCCGAGGCCGAGGCCGCGGCGCTCGTCCCACTGCTGGGGCTGCTAGCCTTGGACCTCACTGTTGGCACTCGCCTAGGCTCCGCCGACGGCGATAGTAACCGCACAAGTCCGGCCGTGCTGGCCGTGGAGGCCGTGCTGCCGGGGGGCGGCAGCGGCACGGGGCCGGTGGAATGTTTCGCCGTGGAGGCCGGGCCCGCGAGGAGCAGGCCGGGCTGCAGGCCGGGGGCTGGGTCTTGCTTGCGGGCCGGGGACGGGACTATCACAGCAGGGAGGCCGAACCCCGCGAGCCCTGCGGGGTGCGGGTGGGCCGGGTGCGGGGCGTGCGGGGCGTGCGGGTGCCGCAGGAGGCTGCTCCCCGAGCCGCCACTCCCGCCGCCGCCGAAGCTGGCCGACGCCGAGGACGCCGAGCTGGTCCGGTAGGGCGGCGGACTCTCGCCGTCGAACACGGTCCGGTTTGGTGGCGGCCGGATGCATTTTTGATAAATCTCGCTCTCCTGCAACAGACGAGGCGAGTTAGTCACCACACCGCGGCAGCAGGGCAGCAGGCTCCACGCTGACCGTGCAGTCCCCACCTGCTCCGGGTCCCGGATGTGCAGTCGGGAGCTGGCGCCGTACGGGTACTCCTCCCCGTCCGGCAGCGCGATGGAGGGCGGCAGGGCCAGCTCAAGGTCTGTCGACACCGCCGTGAGGCGCACCGCCCTGTCCACGGCGTGGTCCACCGTCCTGCGTGCGTGCGAAGATGGCCGCTCCGGCCGCCCAGACCCCACCCCCGCCTCCAACCGCAGACGGTCCATGCCCGTGTGCAGGGCCAGCATCTGCAACAAAAACAAAACAGCCCTTAGCAAAAACGCCCTAGACACCTCGCTCAAGCCCCGGCCCCTCGCGCCCGCTCGCGCCCTGCCAGCATCGCCGGCCGCAGTCTTGGTGGCAATGACCCGGGGAGCTTATCGCAGTGCGGGCTGCAGTCCGCAGGAGGCTGCAGGCCTTGGTCGCGGGGACTGGGCCGCCTTGGCCGCCTGGGAGGTAGGCAGCGTGCCTCGCTCGGGCGGCGGGCGGGCCGGCCTCGCCTTCCAGCACGGCGCTATCGCTAGCGTGCGCAGCTTGCGCCAGCCGGACAGGACAGACCGGACTAGCCGGGCCACCGACCTGCGTTCAAGCCCGCGCCCCATCGGTCTCTCTCTCTCCCACCACTCGTGAGACGCGACCCGCGACCGCGGCTCCGGGTGCGTCAGTCCGGCGACCGGGTCGGCCTCAGAGTCGGCCTCGCCCGACGGCCCCACGGCCCGACACGGCCGGCATCTGGGCTCACGTGTTGTCTTATCAGCCGAGTCAAACCGTGTCGGGGCCAGTCGGGTCGGCCGGCCCGGCCAGACGGGGCAGCCCAGCCCGCCAGGCCGAGCAGCCAGCCAGCCAGACGGCGCAGCGCGCGCAGCCAGACGGGGCAGCCCAGCCGGCCAGACGGAACAGCCAGGCAGACGGCGCAGCCAGACGGCCAGTACGCCGCCCAGCCTTATCGCCGTTTCGGCAGACGAGATAGCGCGGGGCGGCGCGGGGCAAATTAAGCAGACCAGTGCGGCAGAAGGCCCTGGCGACCCAGCAGCCCAGCGGCGCCTGGAGGTTCCCGGACACAAATGCACAGTTTGTCGCTACAGGACACGTGTGCCCCCTCCCCTCCACCCACGCACCGCGCACCGCAGCGAGGAACGCACTCCGATCGTTGAACCGCGGGCCAAGGGACGGACGGCACGGACGGGGACCCACGGGGACCCACCCACCCACCACCATTCAAATCAGCCGCCACGGATTTGCCAGCTAGCGGCAAAGGGTTCCTGTCACTCATTGAGTGCGGCCCGCCCAGTCCCAGCGAACAAATGGACAAAAACGGAGTCGGGAGGCGGACAAGGGAGAGGTGACAGACAGGAAACCGAGATGCTTTCTGCCTCGTTTCTCGTCCTCCAGGACGCAGACCGTTGTTCCTGAAGTTCGGCGCCGTGCCAGACATGTCCCGACATTCCGTCCGACAGCCCGCCCAATATTTACCACGCCTTTACTTGAGGGAAGTGGCGGCTGCACTGAGTACTGCCGCGGCCCCGCGGCCCGGCTGCGGCGGTCCGGCCCTGCACGCGAGGGCACTGATCTTCGAACGCGAGATAAACGCGCAAAATAAGCAAACTCTTGAGTGAGAGACGCCGCGGCATGTCCACCATTCAGAGACGCGAGGTCGCCGCCCCGCCCCGCCCCACGCCGCCGAGTGGACGCAGCTCAGCGCACGTCGCGCGCGGCCAGACTACACTGCCAGCAACTCGCGCGGACTTCCCCCGCCGGGGCGGTGGTGGCGGTGCGCGGCGGTGCGGCGCGGCAGCACTGCGGCGGGCTCCTGGCGGCCGGCTTGTCACTCTGGCGCACTGACACTTCACCCACACATACACACACTGACACTTGCACGCAATCGAGCGCCACTCCACTCACTTTCCACCATGGCTTCTCGTCGATGGGCTTGGTGGTGGCACCCCGCCTCAGGTTCTTGACGAAGTGCAGCAGCTTCTTGACGCGCACGCGGCGCACCCCGGCGAGGCTGTCGGCCAGGCGGGCCAGGCCCTCGGGGCTGGGGCAGCACATGCACCCGCGCCCGTCGTCCGAGTGCTCGTCGAGGTGGTGGACCTGGCCGTGGGCCTGGCCGTGCGCCGCCAGCACGCTCCCCACGGGTCGGCACATCACCGCGGTCTCATCGGCAGCCTAGCGACCCCGCCTTCTTCTCGCACTGCTCCACCACGGCGTCGCGACGCGGCGCGTCTAGACGTCATAAAAAGTATCCGCACCGAGCCGAAACATTAATTCCTTCACGGCGGCCACAATAAAAATCCACAGCGTCACGGCGTCGCCGCGTCGGCCGTCTCGGCGCGACTGTCAGAAAAAGAGACGTCAGTCCGCCTCAAAGGGCCGCAGGACACCGCCGGGCCGCTCCGCCTCCGCCAGGCTCAGGACGCGGACGGCGGCGACGCGAGTCGACACGCCGCCAGAGGAAAGGGTGCCGGTCCGGGCCGCGTCGCGTCGGCTGCGAGCGGCTGGCGAGCTCGGCGCGAGGCGGCGGCTGAGAGACTGCGGCGCGCGGCGCGGCGGCGGCGCGACGGCACCCGACGGCACGGCCTGAGGTGAGCCGAGCCGAGCAGCCGAGCGCAGGCCGCAACGAGTCGAGCCGATGCACAACGGCCAAGGCCGAGCCGAGCCGGGCCGCCAGCCGCCAGCCGGGTACACACGTGTCTGGTCCCACTCGGGCGGGCGGTCTGGCTGACTGACTGGCTCCCCTCCACTCCCCCTGCACCGCCTCGCCGCCTCGCCTCGCCCCGCCGCCCCGGCTCAGACGGCCCGCCCCGCGCCGACCGGCAGGCCGCCGCCGACCCACTGCCGCCCCCCAGCCAGCCGCCAGCCAAGCCAAGCCAGCTCCAAGCCAGTGTGGTTGCACGGCTGTACGGCCGGGGAAGGCCGGCTGGCTGGCAGAGCCGCCCTGCAGACGCTACACAGACGGGCCAACGTCGGCGCGTAAGCAAATAACATTACTCAACGGCTCTATAGGGCCGCGCCGAGCGCGAGACTGCTGGCTGGCGCGCCATGGCGGCGGGCCTGTGGGCGTTGCGGCTGGCACGCCAAAGGCACGCCAAAGGCGGGCCGCGCGCCGCGCATCGACGTGTGCAGGACGGGGCAGACAGGGAAGGAGCGCCACTGGCAGTCAGAGCGGTCAGGTGGAAGTGGGGCCGGCCGGCAATTGGTTCCCTGCTGCTTCGCTTGTCGCGAGGGCGAGGCATCCGCGGAGCCGCGGAGCCAGACGCCTGGGCACGGCCGGCACGGCCGGCACGGCGATAGCGGGAACAGCCGAGCAGAGCCAGACTATCCAGACATACACTCAGACCGCCCGCCGCGAAGCCTGCCGCTGCCACCGCCCCAGACACCCCGCCCCAGACACCCGGCCAGCCAGGCAGCCACGGCGGCCCCGGAAAACGTAAAACGCGCACAAAGCCCCCTGGAATTAATTGCAAGTACTAACGAGTCAGCCCACGGCGACGAGGAGCGGACCGACGGACATCCTCGCCCCAATAAGAGGAAAGCCAGCTCGAAGGGCGGCGCGACCAACGCGGAGTGCAGGACGTCGAGGACGTGCAGAACGCAGGTATGGTGGGAGCAGGATTTCGCCTTGTCTGACGTCGCGTCGCGGCCCACCGCGGGGCGCGGGGCCGGCCAGCCGCGGCCCGGCCAGACAGTCGTCTGGACGGGCCTGACGTCGATGTCTGGCCCGCCAGGCCGCCGCGCCAGGCCGGGGCAGCAACGTATCCGGCTCGCGGTTGCCGCCAGCCCCGCCGCGCTGCAGTAGGGCAGGTGAGTGGCCCTGCCGCTGCCCCCTTGCCGGCCCCGCGCCGTCTAGCGCCTCCCCCTCCCGGACAGGTGAGCCCGCCGACCCTCACCTCGCTCCCTCGCGGTGCGCGCGCCGGAGACACCGCGACAGGCAGCTTCGCGGCGCATCGCGGCGCATTGCGGCCAGGTCCGCGTCGAGCTGTCCAGGGCAGCAAGGGGCATTGGCCGGCGTGGCCGCGCCTCCCCGCCGACGCAACGCGACGGTGCTCCGCGAGGGTTACGCAATCAGCAGACCTGCCGACGCACGTGTGAGAGAGCGGGTGCGGCGGGGCGGGGCGGGCGGGGCGCCGCGGCAGCAGTCCGCCGAGGCAGACGGGCCGACCGGTGCAGCACCACTACTGACGTCAGTGTGTCTCTGGCACGCCGGCCACGCCGGCAACGCCACGGCGTTCCACGTTCCAACACCCCCGTCCGCGCCCCGCCGCCCCGCCGCGGCGAGGGTGCGCGTGCCGGGCGTGCCAGGCCCAGGCAGGCTTGCCTACTGGAGCGTGCTCGGATCATCCCTCCCCAGCGAGGCTTCGGCGAGCAGCCAGGGGCAGCGCGCCGCGGCCGAGGGGCATGCCGAGGGATGGAGCTGGCAGCCCTGGCAGCGCGGCGGAGTGAGTAGGCGTGCCGGGCGTGCTAGGCGTGCTCGCACCACTCGAACCGGCGCCGCGCCGTCTGCCCACCCCAGCGGACACGTCAATGTCACAGCCCGGCGTCAGACACGGCGGAGGCGGACACAAAAAACCACACCAAGAACACACGTCGTCGGCGGCGGTGCGGTGCACCGTGTTTGACATTCAAGTTGACTTTGCCGTGTTTTCCGACAACATACACGCGACGGGGTTCGCTGACCAGCACCGCCGCCACCCCGTGGAGACGGGCAGCATCAGCCAGGCTATCAGACAGTGACCGCGTGGTGGCCAGACTGGGGCCTGCCGGTCTGCCGGCCTGCCGGGGCCAGTCCGCCTCGCCAGAGCGTACCCGACCCTCCCCGCCAGCCCCGTCACCCCGCCACGCCGTGGCCACGGGCCGCGGCACTCGGTCGACCAGTCACCGATAACACGAATCTTCCCCTTCGAACCCGAGCAAGACTCGCGGACCGCGGGGCAGGCGCGGAGCCACGATTTTTCTAAGGAGGGGGTGATGCGGCAATTTGGGGCAAAGACGTGGTGGTTGCCAACCTTCCAGGCGGGCTACCTCGCACCCAAGGGGGGCAATTACCCCTTGCTACCCCCACCCCCTGGCCAAGGGCACGCGGTATGGAATCTCGGTCCGAGGCCGACACTCCAGGGACTGGGCCGCTGGGCCGCCCTCCTGCCCCTCCTGGCATCCACGCATAGATGGGATGAACGGCATCGCAGCCACGAGGAAAATCGGGAACGCGCAGAAACCACGACAGTGTCCTGCTGTGAGAGTGAGACAG